CTTCCGATCGCGTCGAGTTTTTTTTTCTCGTCTGAACCCTAAATCGCGCGTAATTCTCGTCGCAGGAATCTCCCTCCCAGATCAGGATCGAACATGGGTTTCCTTGTCACGACTCTAATCTTCGTCGTTGTAGGTGTCATTGCTTCGCTATGCGCCAGAATCTGCTGCAGCAGAGGTCCCTCCACCAACCTGTACGTTTCATTTCGTCCCCCTCAGTTCGATTTCTCCTCTTCTGCTACAGATTCGATCTTTTGGTTTAATACGTAAATCGTTTACTGCGTCAATGTAATGCGTCAATCTCTCCACTACCAATTGAGTAGTTATCCTCTTTTGCAATTGGAATTCAACAGGCGAAATGAAGTGTAATGTCTTTCTTGTTGTTAATTGGCGAATGTTCCCTTCAAGTGTTAATCCTGTCAAACTTCATTATCGCTTTTGCTTGGCTACTGGTTCACTTTCAAAAACTTTTTTTTTTTTGATGTTCATAAATACCTACCTAATCTTTGTGCTATATTATGATACAGGCTTCATCTTACCTTGGTCATCACGGCAACAGTCTGCTGTTGGATGATGTAAGTTCAGGATTTCCTTGTTTCTGAACCTTTGGTTGCTCAAGTAAATGCCATTTGAGCAGTCTGTCCTTGGCCATTTTTTCGGTTTCTTCTTGTTTCCCTGACCTTGACTTGTCCTTACTTGTTTCCTGTCAAATGGCCGCCACCATTGCTGAAATTTTGTCAAAGCTTGAACCTTTAGGCTTTTACTTACATGTTCCGTTGCATAGAGAACAGGACATCATATCACCAATATGGTGTTGTATATGTCAAATGCCAACAGCTCTAGTAGGCAAAAGAGCATAGTTATGTCCAACTTGCTGGCATTTTCTTCCACTGTAACTCTCAAGTCATGAACTAGCATTCGTGATGTGTTGTTATTGGCATTGGATTTGTTTCCTTGTCTGTTCGTACGGAGATCCACCTGTTGTCACCTGATATCATCGCTGTTATTTTTTTCACGGTGGTAGGTGGGCGATCGTATATCTTGCACAGATGAAGCCTCTCATTGTCCCAATCCTAAACGAGGGCGAGTAGAATCTTGCTCGGACATGAACCCTCTTGTTCTTGAACTATACAAATGAATGGCGGGCGGGTATTTGCTCCTTATTCAATTGTTCTGTATCTTCAAGATATCGGTTTTTCTGTGTAATTTCGTACACTCTTTTGGCATTGCCCTCTTCATCATTGATTTTTTTGTTGTAATCCGCTCATTCAGTTTCACATTCCCAGATTTCCAGAATGTAATATTGATGAAATAATCTTTGGAAGAACATTTTGTTTTCCATCATTCAAGTGGATATTTTGCTGTTTGGTGGATTGGTTTTCTATTTGAAAATGCCAAAATACTATGAAACGACGTCGTTTTTAGCTCAGGGTCCACTCCCATCTTTATTGCATTCTTCTGGAGATTTTTGGGCGACGAAAAATTTTTGAGCTTTGGACGATATTTTCTTCGGGGAAACCAACACTCTATCTTTAAAACCCTAGAAACCCTTTTTCTTTTTGTCTTTAACCAGAAGAATCTGCAGCAGGAGCGGCATCAACAATGGTGACAATCCCATTGGCGAACCTTAACGAGCTCACAATGTCTTCGTCTTCTTCTTGTTCGTTTCTTCCGAAATCTTCTCCCCATTCGTTGTTTGGTAGTTCAAACTCTAGAAGCGTTAAGGTTGGTGGTGGCTTCTCAAGGCGAAGCGGTTCTCGGTCTGGTTCTCTGCGGCTGAGGTGTTCGTTCGCGCCGATGGAATCTGCCAGAATTAAGGTGGTCGGTGTCGGCGGTGGCGGCAACAATGCCGTCAATCGCATGATTTCCAGCGGTTTGCAGGTCACATTTCCTTTTCACCCTTGTCTCGGAGAATGATTCAGACGCTTGAATTTCGTGCTATACTTTAATTTGGTGGTGCTTTTAGATGCGACGGATTCTTACTCCTTTTCAGTTGTTCAAAGTCATCTAGAATTTAGATATGGTTTTTCATTTGAAAATTATGTCTGGTTCTTTCTATATCTTAGTTAATCTCAGGAAGTTCGTATATCTTAGTCTTTGGCTGAAAATTCACATTTTGGAAAATGTGATGTTTCACTGTTGTTGGATTATGATCGATTCTTCTATTGCCCTAAAATCAGGGGGTTGATTTCTATGCCATAAACACGGATTCTCAAGCTCTGTTGCAGTCTGCAGCAGATAACCCTTTACAAATCGGAGAGCTTTTGACTCGTGGACTTGGTCAGTCCTATGAAGATTTCTCTTCTTGTGCTGAATATGGATTTGGTAATCAAACCATCAATCCGTCTCTGTTTACTTGAACTACAGGTACCGGTGGGAACCCGTTACTCGGGGAACAAGCTGCAGAGGAATCAAAGGATGCAATTGCTAATGCCCTTAAAGGATCGGACCTTGTTTTCATAACGGCTGGTATGGGAGGTGGCACAGGTTCTGGTGCTGCCCCTGTGGTAGCCCAGATTGCAAAGGAGTCTGGTTATTTAACTGTCGGTGTTGTTACCTATCCTTTCAGCTTCGAAGGCCGTAAAAGATCAGTGCAGGCATGTGATTAGAACTCTGTTTCGTTGCTTAGTGACACAAGATCGCAGAATTGATTCTGGTGATGTTTTACGGCAGAAAAGTCATTAGGGTTACGCTATCTTTTCGTTTCTTCAGGCATTGGAGGCGATTGAAAAGCTGCAGAAGAATGTAGACACGCTTATTGTGATTCCAAATGATCGTCTGCTAGATATTGCCGATGAACAGACACCTCTTCAGGATGCATTCCTTCTTGCTGATGATGTTCTACGTCAAGGAGTACAAGGAATTTCAGACATCATCACTGTGAGTTTCTATTAAGTGCCAAACTAGTTGTATACTCACTTCCTAGCATCTAGTTTGCGGTTCCACGATAAGAGAGACAGATTGTTTTTTGCTCCCCAGTCCCTGAAGTTTCTGAAAAAGGTTGTTCTTTTAAACTTTCAGATACCTGGACTGGTGAATGTTGATTTTGCCGATGTGAAGGCGGTTATGAAAGATTCCGGGACTGCAATGCTTGGAGTAGGCGTTTCTTCCAGCAAGAACCGAGCCGAAGAAGCAGCTGAACAAGCAACTTTGGCTCCTCTGATTGGGTCATCCATCCAATCAGCCACCGGAGTCGTGTATAACATCACCGGAGGAAAGGATATAACCTTGCAGGAAGTCAACCGAGTATCTCAGGTGCTATATCTTTCACTTTCACATATGGTTTATGACAGTTTTATTAACCTTCTAGAAGAAAGCTTTCAGGACCAAGAACATATATGTATATATATGTCAATCCATCTGAAAACCAGAAAGAGTAACAATACTATACAATCATGATGTATCATGTTCATTCTCTCCTATGGTGATATTTCTTCGGGTTTACAGGTTGTGACAAGTTTGGCAGACCCATCAGCCAATATCATATTCGGGGCTGTGGTGGATGATCGCTACACAGGAGAGCTTCATGTAACGATAATAGCCACGGGTTTCTCTCAGTCTTTCCAGAAGACGCTCTTGACCGATCCTCGAGCTGCTAAACTGCTCGGGTCTAGCGGCCAAGACAACAAAGGAGGTATTGCCCTTTCCCAGAAGCCATCTTCATCTCCTGCCACTGTCAACAACAAATCTCCTCCCCGTAGACTCTTCTTCTAATTCTCTTCCTCAACTCTGTACTGATTTGATCTTCTTTTGGGCTCAAAAGCTTCTCTCAAGAGTTCTCTTTGTTTTGAGCTTCGTGCCTTTGCAATGAAGTTGGCATTGTTTTAGTTGATTAGGTGATATGATATGATAAAATCAGGATGGAGGGATGAAGAAAAACGGTATCAAGATATGGTTGGGTCCATCAAAGAAATTGAATGTCTTGTACAGAAAGCCCTCGTCTTTTTCGCATTTGGAAGATCCATCCATGTACTCTCAAGATTTTCCTTAAACACTGAAGTACCATTACACAGAAAGGTCAAAGACAAAACTCAGTGGCAAGAAACAGACAAAGACTCGTATATATCTCCAGACATCAAAAGTAAATATCTTTGTGAAACCAAGATTGTAGATTCCTCTGCCCAACAGTGAAGAATCTTGGGGCAAGTTTCATGTACGAGTGAAGGCGTCAATCACTGTGTTGCAGCTCACAGGAAATAATCAGGTGCTGGTTTCTTGGGAGGAGCCCCTCTTGATTCCTGTATGTATCAAACGTTAATAACACTATCTCCATTAAGGAATTTGGACCTTTTGATTCAAATGGAAGGCATCTATAGGCACAAGGGCAAGCTCCCTTACCTGAGGAGCTGCTTCAAACACGTGGAATTCTCTGTTAAGATTCTCGTCCAGCTCGAGAATTGCAGCTACATTACCACATCTGAAACGTGTAGGAATATAAGAGCATGAAAAAGTCGGGCTATATAGCAAAAACAGAAAAAGAGAACGACGACTTTTCCTTTGGTGTAACTTATACCTATAACAGTAATTTGGAGCTGACCAGACTGTAACTATCTGGTTATTGAACATCCATTTATAACCTTCCATAACTAGCTGATGGGCTCGGCATATATAATCTATGTTGTTTGAGTGATTGAAGGAAGTGACAACGCTGCCACCAAAGAGGAATCCAGCACCTCGTGGACTCAGACCCCATCCGTCGACAATATCTTCTGGATCAGACCATAGAAGGTCACACATGGCACCATCATGTGGCACTTCTTGCTTCCGGTCAATAGTTCGAATCTGCCAAGAAAAAGGTAAAGATTTTCATCAGTTATCCTCCATAGCTAAAAGCTTCCAATTATATGAGCAGCGACAGATTTTTCATAAACCTGATCTAAGGTCATAATAGCTGGAGAGAGGCCACCATGAACACAAAATATCTTGTTCTCGACAAGAGCTGAAAGACTGAACAAGACCAAGCAGAGGAAGTTTTAAGGTTGTCACTGCAGAGTAAGAAAGCAAACCAACGCAGGAAGTAAAGTAAGAGGAAAAAAGCTCTGTATGTGTACCTTAAGTAGTCAAAAATGTCGGTGCAGTATCTCCAGACATTTACAGAGCCATATTTACGCAGGCATTCGTCATAAAATCCATATACCTACTAAATCCAGGGGTGTAACCATGTAAGTAATCATATATAACAAACTAAATTTATCGATTCGACTTAATTCACCTGTGTGATTTGCCGGCTCTCGTGATTCCCTCTAATGAGAGTTATACGGTCTGGATATCTGACCTGACAATACAAAAGCAAACCCACTTGAAGAAGTCAAGGACCCATTGGCAGAAGAGAACGTATTGGAACATGTGACTGAAATGGTCGGGCAAAGAAATTACCTTGAGAGCCAGTAGAAGGAGGAATGTCTCGACAGAGTAGAAACCTCGATCAACAAAATCTCCAAGAAACAAATAATTTGTCTTAGGGCAATCACCTCCTACTTTGAAAAGCTCTTTCATGTCATAGAACTGCCCATGTATGTCACCACATATCTGTTCCATCAAAGGAAAGGGAACACATAATCAATTTCGAAGTGTTTAACTTCAATTTCCATTTGTAATGACTTCCTGAAGTTGCAGTGAAATTCAAAATTATATTCAGGAAAATCGACAAAAACCCAGAACCCATAGTCTGGTCAAATACAAGAACCCTAAACCACTCATTCAATCCTATCTCGATTCTAAAACCCTAATTCTTCGGGGGGCTTGAACCTTTAGGCTTTTACTTACATGTTCCGTTGCATAGAGAACAGGACATCATATCACCAATATGGTGTTGTATATGTCAAATGCCAACAGCTCTAGTAGGCAAAAGAGCATAGTTATACTTCGGTCGAAAACCATCATCCTATTTCCTCAGATTCTAGACCTCTGATTTTCCACTTCCCAATATTCTCAGCACAAATCTTGAACTTCAAAGACTCAAATCTTCATACGTAACCATAAAACTTCCGATGCCCAGATCGAGAAATGAAAAAACAAAATTACTTACAGTGACAGGGGCATCGACCCTTTGAACATTGCTCTCTTCAACGAGGATTTCTATGGCTTTGAGGCAAAGAGCCTTCACCTCCGATTCATTCAACGGCTCGCAGCGCTTCAGCTGTTCAATCTGCCGATCCAAGTCTGACATATCTGCCCCTCGTTTCTTCCACTTGTTCTTAGAGCAATTCCAGAAAGAACACTAATTTTCGAGAATCAGATAAAGACCCTGAATCTCGTCGAATCTGCAAATCCTCCGCGGGAGAGTTTTTGCTCGTGTTCTTCCCCAGGAGAGGCGACGCTCTCCTCCTCCCCCGAGGAGTGTTTCCCACAGTTCCCCCTCTCTGTTTCAAGATTTCTTCAAAACCGCCCCACTGCTTTCACACAATTCTACATTCGGCGCGAATCTTTTTAAGTCGCTTCTTGGCCCATTTAAAATTTGTTGCAAGCCCATGTAATATCTCAAGGGCCCAAAATTAAATTTCTTGAAGATTGTTTTTTTAGAACAAAAATTAAAACAGCTGAATACTAATTATCAAAATAAATCCATTGATGAATTGAAGATCACGTTTTCTTTTTTGAAGAACCCCACAATTTTTTTGGATAATCAAATATTTTGGATCGAAATTCAAATAAACTTCAGGATATAAAAATGTAATTGCATCCCATATGCGAAATCAATACTACCATTATTCGATGAATAGCACTATTGTTTTAAATAAATTATTAGAGTTGATGGTTACAATTACGAGGGAAGTGAAATTGACAGGCCAAAATATTTCATCAGGCGATTAGTGGTCAAATAAAGAGAATGCAAAAAAAGGAATGTTGACCAGAGACTTCCTTTTTGAATTTTTTTTTTTATATTATACTTCTGAAAATCCAAACTAAAGTCATTTGGACAATTTTTCATGTAAGCTTTTAAATATTTATTTTATGTTAAATAACTAATTAAGTTGACGACCCAAATGGATAAAGTCGTTTAGGTAATTATAGGATAATTCATAACGGTTAGTGTATGTGTATGTGTATGTATGAAAACTATATTTTTTTTGTTATGGATTTTAATGCTAGCTATTATGTTAAGAAAAATATGTAAGAAATAATTTATTTTTTTTCATTATAGAAAAAACTAACAAAATGAACCGATGAATTAAATTAAGGTTCCACTATGGATTTACATTTCCATGTTGTAGGAGCTGTAATAACTATGGTTCTTTTCGTGTAAAATGTACTAATTAGTAGCAATAATTGATGGTGACTATGGTGAATAAAAAAAACATTATGTGTACATATATATATATATATATGAATGTATATGTATAGATATTGCCTTTGGAATCTCAACACAAAGATAGATAATTGCGTATAATATTAAAATGAGAGAATCGGGGCATAGTTCACGGTAATTATCAAAAGCCTCGAAGACCACAACAACAAATTTCCCGGTTTTCGGGTTACAAACTTTCTTTTGATTAATAGTTAAAAAAAAAATAATCAATATCGTAAAAAAATGAGAAAATAATCCAATTTTAGAGTCGGCACAAGCTTTAATATAATCATTGATTAAATTACAGAATATGCATAATACTTAATATTACTGATTAGATGATAATAGTTAATTAATGAAAAATAATTAAGTACTCCTTTTGTTGCCATGCATTGCATGCGATCAGTCAGTCAATCATATCGTGTTAGTTGCTTTAATTTCCCGCAGTAATAACATCCTATCTCCGAATCATAATATTTAATAAATCGTTCTTATATATATATATATATATAAGTATTATTTTATGAGGTAATCAAATGGGGCTTTTAGCACCATTAATGATGATTAAAGGTTTCTTGAAATCAATTATACTTTTTTTTGTTTTTGCAAAACTTCCGTTGTTTTCATTGAGAGCAAAGTTTCTTTCCAACGCACATTCAAGTCAGTCTCTATTCAGAGAAAAACATTCATGTGTTTCTCTAATTCTTTGGGAGATATAATTGGATCAAAAACCCGATAACTTTCAAATTATTTTTTTAAAAAAAATTCTGCTCTTCAAAAAAGGTTATATTTTTTTTCCGTGGTTTTACTATCGATCTACTATGTTTTTTTTTATATATATTTTTTCAAAGTGTAAATGAAAATAATTTTTAAAGCTTAAAAATAAGGAATATTTCTATTCGCAGATAGAACAAAAACCAAATTAATTGAAAAATGATATAAAAAACGATAATATTTTCAGAAAAAAAAAACTTGTTAAATAAAAAACAAATGCAATTCAAATACGAGAATAGAAATCAAATAAAATAAAAATTCGAATGAATACAATTATTCCAAAACATAAAAATAACATATATTTGTAGGTATTTGTTTTCCTTGTTTTGATTTGTCCTCGTTTTCTATGTCTAGAATGGGACTTAATTTCTTTTCACCGACCTTGTGGGCATGCTCCGGAAAGATTGCTTGTTGGCTTAATTTAATATAATATTGGACCCACAAATTTAAAGTTTTTATTTTTGCTACTATTTCTCTTTTATCGATCATCATTTGACCTATGAATTGAATGCCATGCAATTAGCAGTGCCCTATATAGCCTACACATTTACCATAAACATGTGACATCTTATCTATTAAGACCATGATTTCATGAATATATATATATATGTATGTATGTATGTTGCAAATGAACCACCCACGAAATGCCTAAGATTGCGTCAAATCTTATTTGATTCCAATGTTTATATTTCACGTTTCATAAACGACGGTATAAATTTTATATGGTTAGAGAGTTTTGAATTAAAAACTTGCTATACCGATTGGAAATCGTGGGCAGACGTTGAAAATCACATGCAAGGCACACACACACACACACATATATATATATATATATATATATATAACGCAAAGAAATTAAACGCGTATGGAGATATATAACCAATTTCTCGTCGTAAACATTATGTTTTCTACATCTAGAATTTTGTAATTTTGTCATTTATAAGATTGTCGGCGATCTATATATATATATATAGGACAAAAGATATATAGGGGTGATGATAAATGTATAGATACAATTACAGATGGTGAGTTCAAAGTCCGGCAACATCATGAAGAACCCTCTCTGATATTACTGCACTCTGTGATCCGAGGCCATTCAAATCTGGCGTCAATCTTGGGCCTTATTATTCCCAACCCAATTCCATGTACATTAATCTCATAAATTCTATATTTGTTCGTATATATATATATATGTATGTATATACTTGGAGAGTAAATTAGTACTCATGGGGGCATCTATATATGTAAAATTCTAGTGATTAGTTTTCAGGGGAATCTAGCAATATATATACTAATTAGAGAGTAAAGATAACCAAGACACGTGTAATTATTTACATGGTTCCTTTTCAACTAAATTTGAATTTAATTGTTTAAGAGCTTATATGCAGACACTTGTAAGAATTTTTATGGGAATATATAGTGTAATTAGCATATAAACACAAATATATATTCCTAATTAGAGAGTGAAGATAACCACCATATGACAGGTATTAGTATTCATGTGTGTTCCTTTTTCAATTAAATTAATATTTAATCAGGGATAAACATGAGAATCCGTGTAACAAAAATATACTAAATAGAGAATAAAGATAATTACGTGGTTCCCCTTCAACCAACTTAGTTTTTAATCGTTTGAGCCTTTTTTCCCCGACTCCTACATTCATCTCTCTCTCTCTATATATATATACCTAACTCTTGTCCGAGATTCACATTCACGGAACACAGAGAGAGAGAGAGAGAGAGAGAGAGAGAGAGAGAGAGAGAATGAAAGGAGAGGGAGACAAAAACGTGGCAGTGTGTGATATGAAGCTCGAGAGGCTTCTGAGCATGAAAGGTGGCAAAGGACAAGACAGCTATGCCAACAACTCTCAAGCTCAGGTCTCTCTTATTTATTTATTTATTTATTTCACATTTACGTTTACTGTATATATGTTTTTTTATTATATAAAATACTGTATATATGGCATATAATCTATTTCGTGTTTTTTGTTTTAATTACGATCGGTAAATTTACGTGAATTTTCCTTGTGTTTCTCAACTCACCGATCCTTCTGATTTGTTCGTCCTGAATTATTACAATTCGATACCGTGAATTTTTTTGAATGACCGGGTATTATGTACTGAAACCCAGACTAATCCAAGAACAGAACATTACGGCCATTTATTTTGTTCGTGAATGTATTGCTTTGATAGGGGTCTTGTCTTTTTGTGGGTTTAAACATCTTTTTTTTTTCTTGTCCTATAGATTCTCTTCGATTATCCAACCCTATACCACCTTCGTTATATATATATATATATATATATATTTATAGAAGCAAGTGCACTACTTATAGAGGACCAGCTCGACGTGTGCATGCATAGAGATGGATATTGGGTATATTACAAAATCACAAACGGGCCATTCATATATCGAATTACAAGATATTATTTCTTGAATGTTTATTATATGGATTTTTTTATTATAATATGGTTTTTAATGAAAAACATACGACGTTATGGCACCATGCAGGCGATGCACGCAAGATCGATGCTCCACCTGCTGGAGGAAACCCTAAACAAAGTCCACCTCCTGAAGTACTCCTCCTCCAATCCTCCGCCGTTCACGGTGGTCGATCTGGGCTGCTCCTCCGGAGCCAATACCGTCCACGTCATCGACTTCATCGTCAAACACATCTCCAAGCGGTTCGACGCCGCTGGAATCGAGCCGCCGGAGTTCTCCGCCTTCTTCTCCGACCTCCCCAGCAACGATTTCAACACTCTCTTCCAGCTCTTGCCCCCTCTCGTATCAAACTCCTGCATGGAGGAGTGCCTCGCAGCCGACGGAAACCGCTCCTACTTCGCCGCCGGAGTACCCGGATCGTTTTACCGGAGACTTTTTCCGGTGAGAACTATTGATGTTTTTCACTCTGCCTTCTCCTTGCACTGGCTCTCTCAGGTATAAACTAACACATGGCTAGACTTAATTTCGAAAGAAAGCCCGTTCTTAGTTACGAGGTTGACGTAAAAGGAAAACATCGTAGGTGCCGGAGTGCGTGACGGAGAAGAGATCGGCGGCGTACAACAGAGGGAGAGTGTTCATCCATGGCGCGGGAGAGAAGACGGCCATGGCATACAAGAGGCAGTTCCAAGAAGACCTTGGAGTGTTCATAAGGGCTCGAGCCCGAGAGCTCAAGCGAGGGGGCTCGATGTTCCTGGTCTGTCTCGGCCGCACCTCTGTGGACCCCACCGACCAGGGTGGTGCCGGCCTTCTCTTTGGGACCCACTTCCAGGACGCCTGGGACGACCTTGTCCGAGAGGTATGTATACATCTAAACTATAACCAATCTCTCTTTATGGTACGTATGATGAGCAAATTAATACATAAATCAAGTTCTCTTTGATCACACTTAAATTTATTTTGGAATCCGCCATAATTAGGTATGTGGGCTTTATACATATTCATTCATAAGTAGAGAATCAAATGCATCCGGACAAGATTTTAGCTTTTGCTTTACACAAGCTCTTTAAATCTATCCACACACACACAAAAAAAAAAAGAAAAAAGATTTGCCCTAAATCCATGTGAAGTGGATTAAGGGCGTAGAGGCAAATGATTGTGGTTGCTATACGAACCAGATGATGAAACTCTCATCAGCCCTGTTTCAACCGCAATCAATCCTATCCGTTGGATGCCCTCTATCGGGTGAATCTCAACCGTCCATTTGCGGTCGGCAACATCATGGCCGGTGTAGAGACAAAACTGGCGGACCATATCATGGAGTCCGGTAAAAAGAGACTACAGAAAGGTTAAAAGAGAACAATGCCGATGCCACTTCTTTATCCTAACACAATCATTTCAAGCCATCTGATCAAATTTTCATCACTACGAAAGGTGTTGTGCATGTGCTTTTCAGACAGGAAAAAAAGGAAGAAATTAACACTGCTATATATATATATATATGTATGTGTATATATAACATATTAATATCATGAATTGGTTTGATTTGAGAAATCAAACCCTAACCCATCTTCATATCGTGATTAAATACAATCAAGAAATTAACATAACATTAACATCGTTTTGCGAAAACATTGCAACAGGGACTGGTGACGGCGGAGAAGCGTGATAGCTTCAACATTCCGGTATACGCCCCGAGCCTACAGGATTTCAAGGAGGTGGTGGAAGCGGAGGGATCGCTCGTGGTGGATAAGCTCATCGTCTTCAAAGGAGGAAGCCCTCTCGTGGTGAGCCAGCCAGACGACGCCTCGGAAGTTGGCCGAGCATTTTCCATCAGCTGCCGGAGCGTTGCAGGGGTTCTCGTAGAGGCTCATATCGGCCAAGATCTCAGCGACGAGCTGTTCTTTCGGGTCGAACGTCGAGCCGCGGGCCATGCCAAGGAGGTCCTGGAGCATCTGCAGTTCTTTCACATCGTCGCTTCCTTGTCACTTGCTTAATCAGTTGCAACTCATATATATACATATGAGTAGAGAAACACTAGGAATGTTTACATTCTGTGTGCTTTTTTTCTTTTTGTTCTCTTGTGGCGTTTAGTGTTTCATTTTCCCTTCTCTTTGTTGTTTTCCTCCTCGGCGTTTGGATAATGTAAACACAGATATCGGCTAAGTCCTTTTTGTTTTATTCTCAAACTCTATCGGAAACTAAGCGCTCCCTTACCCCCAACAGTACATTCGCCGAAGCAAAAACCGTACAGACAGACACCTCTCAAAAATACATGACGCGGAAGCCAATGAGAGGGTTTGATTATGGGCCAATAGCGATAGTCTTGGGCCCTCACCATCGGCCCATTTATCTATATCAACAATATGCGGTCATTGCTTTTCAGAAAATTATATTAAAAAAAACTGTACAAGACAATTGAAATCCAAGACATGACTATCCTAATAAACAAGACATGAATATATCTACATCTATCTATATATATATATATATAGAATCGTTGAAGGAGCAAGCAAAGGATATTAGCTTTGAGATATTTTAGAAGATGGGCATGTATTTTTTTTTTGTACATATACACCGAGGTGGCACGAATTTTCAACCCAAGCTAAACAAACCAAGAAAGTCAACACCAAACCATTTTCAGTATCATACCGAGAATCAAAACAGAAATCGTTACAGAACATAAAAATCACTGACCGGCCGATGGATTAGTAAGCAACTCAAGCGACTTCTTCAGGTAGTCCACCGCGATCGAGACATCGTCGAAAGCCAAGGCTCCAACCGCAAATCTCGCCGCCTTGTGTGCCTCGGCCACTTTCTCAGCAGGTGGCTGGTAACTGCTGTCGTATTGGTACTTCGGTGTCGGATCTGGCACAGTTGCATTTCCGACGCGCCCATTTGAGGATGAGTAAGGGGGTGCCGAGGAGAAGCTAGTGGAAGAAGGTGCGGGAGCGGAATGAGGAGAGTAGTAAGGGTCGGGGTTTTGATAGTGAGAAGGGTAGTGAGACGGAGTGGAAGGTAGGCTGCTCTCGGAAAAGCTCGGGTAAGATTGGAAATTAGGGTACGAATAAGGAGAGGATGGCTCGTGAGACGGGTAGTTTTGAGGTGGAATGTGCTGTTGTGACGGGTCTTGGTGGTAAGGTTGATGAACGTAGGGCTGAGGGTAAGGGGTGTCTGATCGGCTCGTGGCAGCGGGTAGGTCATTGGTAGGATATGTCTGATTATGATAAGAAGGAGGTGGCAGTGGTGAGTGATCATCATTAGGAGGTGGATGTGGAAATTCGGGTAAATGATGGTGGCTTGAACCATGGTTTAAGTCATGTGGCGGACCAGGCTCTGTTCTCTGACTGGTTTCGACCGTTTCGCTCGCACCAAGATCCTGTGTACAATTCACAATGTGCAAAAAGATGGGTAAAAGACTCTATCACGAAAGAAATTGCATCTATAAGACCCGAGTTGTTTAAATCTTACACATATATGCATGTGTACGTCTGTATATCTAGATCATTCTCAAAGTTAGAAAAGAATTTCAAGTTCTTGTATCGTATATGTGCTGTTATCATAAGCAATCATTATCATAAGCATTCAAGTTGAGAAAACTTTACATATGTGCCGCTTGGACCGCTTGATGGCACGGATAAATCATCATCACCAGCAGGACCGCCCGGTGTGGGTTTCCTTCCTTCTTTCAACGCTTTCCTTATGTCAGCAGCCTTCCAAGCAGCATATTTCTGTTTCTGCTCCATCTGCCCAAGTCCCGAACAAAGCCATAAGAAAAAAAAAATTTGTCACCTACGACAGCCAACCATTAGTTTTCCTGTACAAATTCATCAATGCTAAATCGTTTCACAATTTAGAGTTTCTCGCGGAACTTCAAAGCGAAGGGACAAGTAGAAACTCACATCTGGAGGAAGCGGCCCAAACTGGTTGAGAATTTCAAAGAAAATGCTTGCAGCATAAAATGTTTTGGCTGTATTCCTGTAAAAGCCATGGTTGACAATAATTTCTTACATTCGACCCGATCTTCTATATATGAGTCACACCAACTCAAGTATTGATTCTAAACTAGTCACAAAAACTGAACAAAGAGTTGAACCGAAACCATAATCAGAAATGATTACCACTAAAAAGTTGAGCCTTATCCCCAAGAGCAGAAAGAAAGAAGACAAGATAAGGTAAGTTTTGGAGCTGGACACACCCAGTTGATTCCTTAGATAATAATCTTTCTAGTCTAAATATATTGGTTTCCTGTTAGCACTTTGTATGTATTTCCGTTTGATGGTCATCAGCACACGACACTGCTGAACAGTAACACCTACAAAGCATCTTGATGGACATGTATGCCTATTTCAATATAGGTATTCCTTCATTGATTCCAACATTAGGAACCCAAAACTAAACGAAGAACAGATTTAGGGAAATAAGGAAATCCCATGACATTCAACTAGTATCAGTGGTGACCCCAACTGGTTAAGGAATTTCCCGAACTTGGATGTCAGGTGGCAACGGATGTGATAGTAAAAAACATAAAGAAAAAGGAAACTCATCTTACAAGTCTGCTCTTCCCGCACGATCTTGCTTGTCTGCCTTCGCAAAGACATTCAGTGCAAAACCCTCCACATGCAGATTGTCATCAGATGAAAGATCTAATGATTTCTTATCCTGGAAAGAACAAAACCAAAAATTAGCCTAAAAACTTGGAACTAGTCACAAGGGTTCACCATAATGTGTCATCCACTACTGTCAATAGCATCATTCAGAGTTAAATGCAACCGGCAGGATCAATTAGCATAATATATGATATCTTAGTATCGCAGAAGTAGGATCTTAGCAACTTATCCAAGACCCTGTCAAACACAATTTCATTAATCACTTTCATTCTTCCACATGCTATCTCAAACCTTCTTGTACTAAATGACTAAAACATATTCATCAACAAACTATTCAAAGACTGAAAAGGAGGAATTCATTCCACTCACTGATACCCAAAATTCATCAACAAAACATTCAAAGACTGAAAAGAAGACATTTGTTCCAGTAATATCCAAAATACCAACTTCAGCTATTCAAAAGGGGTGAAGAAAATACCTTCTCCAGCTGATTAATGAGGGACATGAGAAGTGAATTAGTAGTCTTAGTCCTCTCGCTCTGTGGGATCTTCAACCCTCGTTCCATGGCGTATAGCCGACCTGGTCATAAACACGACGATCAATAACCAAGGAATTTTTTTTTACAAAAACCACCAAAAGTTCACGAAAAACGAAACACTATCATGGATATATCACAAATCTCAGCAATACTCAATCGCAGGAAGCGATCACATCGATTAACGAAAAGATATAAATAATCTAGGTTTCTAATCAGAGAGAGGGAGGGAGGAAAACACAACGCACAGTAATAAGCAACAAGAGGTTCGTGCTTCTGCAACTCATCAGCGCGTTGCAAGTAGGGAAGAAGAATCTTCGCCGGTTCGTTCTGGTTCGACATTGATTTTGCGCTTCGTGGATTTCTCCGACGGAGAAGACGACGATTCGGCCTGTTCAAAATGGAATTTTTTTTATCGGTGGTAATGGGGCTTTGTCTCTATTAACGCGTTTGTGATAGTAGTGAAGCCCAAAACGACGTCGTGGAAGTGACATCGAATTCAAACCTTCAGCGTGAAGATTCGAAGCACCGAGATTTAGCAGTTCAGACCATTTCCTTGACAAATTTATCAGATCCACCCTAACAATTCTTGAGTCACCATGTTTTTCCCCCATTCTTTTCAAAAAATACCAATTAACCCCATAATTTCAGAAGCAACCCATTTTAAGTCACACTAATTTGAAATGTTAGGTAAAGGGCCAAAGTAACTAAAAAAAGAGTACTCACTATCCAAACACAGATACAAACATACACACCTAGCAACGACATTTTTACTCTCTCCCTGTCTGTCTCCTGTGACGTTCGTTTCACAGAGATTGAACTCTCTATGGCAAACATTGTACGATCACATATCTCTCTCTTGTCTTCATGGTGAAACCGGAACTGGACCGGCGCCAGAAACATGAGATGTCGAGTCCTCTTTCGAAATGGCTACATAGTTCGATGGCACAATAGGTCTTGTGAGACTTTCCCGTTTCCCGTCCTTTGCAGTTGACCGACTTCCGTTTTGGTGAGATTTTAGAGATAGACGCCGGTTAGGTGTTCCGTTTTCTTGGAGATGACTGGTCTTGCAGGGCTCGGCCTTGTCCCAAAGGCTGAATCTTTATGCCCTATTGAGGCAAGACCAAAGTTTCAGTTAATCTTCGGGTACAGAGTTAGGCAACAAAAAAAAAATTTAAAATAACCCTACTGAAATGGGCCACACAAATTATCGACTTGAATTAATAGGCCCAAATCACAAGGCCCAAACATAAAAGTATGACACGTGGTATATTGGTATTTACACGTGGCAGACGAGAGTAGCTCCTCGCCCTACGCATGTGACAATCCTCCAAACGAATGTATTTCTCCTCTTCCGGAATCGGTGAGTGATGTCATCACCGCTACGTGCTCGTCCACTACGTCTCCCATCGCTAATCGTATCTTCTCCCCCTTTTCGTCTCATTTCCACATTTCTTTGATTCAGGGTTTTGTTTCCATTTCTCGATCATCTTCAGATTCCTGGCGCCACGTTTCTCTCCATCGAAGACTGCTAAATCCGAGTTTCTGTAAGTCCCCCCCCTCCCCCGTTTCTCGGTCTCTTGATCCGTTGTTTAAACGAGGGTTCGAAGTTTGATTCAAACCGATTCTTGGGTTTATCAGATTTTCTAGGGATTTCGGTGGTTCTGATTGAGGTTTGATCGCATTGGTTTCGGATTTTAGGCATAAATGGATTATGGAACTCCTTAGCGAAGAGTGTCGCTCAAGTAATCCGATCATGGTTATGTTTTGCCCACACATACATACATACATGCATGAACGTGTGTGCATGCGAGCATAGTGATGAGAGAGAACATCTAGATTCTTGACGAGTAACCTCAGCATTTGTACATTAACAGTTCGTAAACATCGTATCATGTTAATATTCACAGATACACCTAAGAGTTTTCTGTTGAAAAGGTTTGAAACAGATAATCGTCTCTGTATTATCGTAGTTTTCTAGGTTCCAAAGTGTGATCAGAACATGGTGATGAAGACATGAACACCAATGTTTCGTTTGATCATATGACATGTTCTTCCCCTCAAATGCTTAAATTTTGCTGGGTTCTGTTCATCTCTACTGTAGCTTAGCATGGGAAGATTTGTTTAACTTCTTCCATAACCTACAGAAGTAATTTCAAGGAAAGTGCAGAAGTATATAGCTATCTCGAAACTGCCGCCCGAAGTTGGATGGCATTGCAAAAGGATCATTATTCTGGTTCTCCGCGAGCAGGAAAACAAAGGGATCAGAATTATCCCAATTCGCCGACTGTTAAGACCAATGGCCAAAGGGATAACCCCATTCCTAGTTCGCCAAGTGCCCGCTCCACAGCATTTGATTCTCCTTCTCCTCGGCTTCGTCACCGGAGACGGCGATCAACTGAGGTTTTTTTTACATATGCATGAATTTCTTAAACTTGGTCTTGTGCATTAGATTCTAGCTCTGATGGTGTTCTTCTGGAGATCAGTTTCCAGGTGACATAAACAGAGCAAATGGGAGCAATTTGATGACTGCAAGTGAAAGCAAATACCGGTCTATGTGGATTAGGACATGTTCATCTCTATGGATGCTTGGCGGGGTTATCTTTATTATCTACATGGGACATCTCTACATCTGGGCTATGGTTGTGGTGATACAGATATTCATGGCAAGAGAGCTCTTCCTTCTTCTCAGAAGAGCTCATGAAGAGCGATGCCTACCCGGGTTCAGGCTCTTGAACTGGTACACAAGCTTACTTGAGAATGAGGAATAGAGAATCTACCAAGTTCTTGATCTGACTGATACTTACCTGGATTGTTTCGTGCAGGCACTTTTTCTTTACGGCTATGCTGTTTGTCTATGGCCGCATTTTCCGTCAGCAGCTAGTAAACACAGTATCATCTGACAAATTCTTCTACAAGCTTGTGAGTGGTCTCATCAAATACCAGATGGTTATTTGCTATTTCCTCTATATCGCAGGTCTGTTTTCCAGCGCCACATGCCTCGTGATTCTTTGCTTTTTTGTTTTGTTTTTTTGGTTTCTGGTTCCACAATTGAAAATTCGGAATGAATCCCTCTCAGAGGTAAACCCATGTTGAATTGATCAGGTTTCATGTGGTTTATCCTTACGCTGAAGAAGAAGATGTACAAGTATCAGTTCAGTCAATATGCCTGGACACATATGATCCTTATAGTGGTGTTTACACAATCTTCTTTCACCGTGGCCAATATCTTCGAAGGGATCTTCTGGTAAAATGCTGATATCCAGAAAAAGGCATCAATGGTTTCCTCATCACACGGAGAAATACAGAAAAAAAATCATCTTTTTGGTTTTATGATGATTTGCAGGTTTCTTCTACCAGCAGCACTTATTGCCATGAACGATGTCGCTGCTTATTTCTTTGGGGTCTATTTTGGGAAGACACCGTTGATAAAACTGTCCCCAAAGAAAACATGGGAAGGATTCATCGGGGCATCTGTAGCAACGATGATCTCTGCATTTGTGGTAATCTCACCGCCGTCCAGTCTTGACTTGCTTTCACATATTGAGACCTTTTCGCTTGATGTCAGGACTAATTGACTTAATACTTCTGTTTAGTTTGCAAATGTAATGGGCCAGTTCCAATGGCTTACATGCCCGAGGAAGGTATTTGACATCTCCATTTCCATCCCTGATTTCGCTTGATGCTTATCGTTTCTACTTCAAACCGAATTTGATGCTTGCAGGATTTATCCACTGGATGGCTTCACTGTGATCCAGGCCCTCTGTTCAGGCCAGAGTATTATCCATTGCCTTGGTGGATTACTCGATTTGTAAGAAATTATCTCTCTCTCTCTTTCGCTCGTGGAAGGTAGTGTTTGTGCTGAAATCCTGAATTAACCTCGTTTATATTCACTAAGATGCAACAATCACTTGCTTTTCAGACTCCATGGAAAGAGATGTCAGTTTTACCGGTGCAATGGCATGCTCTGTGTCTCGGTCTATTTGCATCGATAATAGCACCATTCGGAGGTTTCTTTGCCAGTGGTTTCAAAAGAGCTTTCAAGATCAAGGTTAGACATCTAAATTTTTTTTCATTTCCTATAACCCTCTCAGTTTATAAGCCATAGATGAAGAAGATCGGAGATTTTACATGATCAATTTCCGGGCTTCCATGATTTGTTTTCTGTTTCCTTGGATCTAATCTTTGATGCTGGCAGGATTTCGGAGATAGCATTCCTGGGCACGGAGGTTTCACCGACAGAATGGATTGCCAGGTAATAAAACTCGTATCGAATCTATAACAGAGGGAATCTGCATGCATTTTAAGAATTAGGTAAACTCAACTAGCCTGCAAGACTGAACCTATCACATAGCATGTAGATGGATATTGTATCAAAACTGACCTCAGGGTGAAGTCATTACCTGACCTGAGAAATCATACATATCAACCAAGAGATAACACTGAAGAACTAATCCTTCATTTTCAGATGGTGATGGCAGTTTTCGCATACATCTATATCCAATCCTTCATCATTCCCCAAGACTATAGCGTCGAGATGATCCTAGACCAGGTAATAAACTCGATAGTCAATACCAAATGTCTGCCTCCCTGCAACCTTGGATCTGTGGGACATGATGTCGGGTACTAATATTTTGGTACAGATAATGAGAAGCCTCAGTCGGGAAGAGCAGCAGAGGCTTTACGTAAAGCTCGGTGACATTCTTTGGCAGCAGATACAAGGGTAAGTTTTAGCTCAAAGGGCAGTCCGATGCACAAATCATCCCGTGGTCTGGAAACGGTCCCTCCGCAAGGGTAAGTTTTAGCTTAGGTTAGGACAAAAAAAACAGAAGTCGGTTTTTTCTTCAGCGTCTATATTAGGATTCTTTTTCTCAGACATGTTAAAAGAACATACGGATTCCTTGCTCAGGGAAAAGATCAGATCCAGATCAGGGGTTTCGTTTAGTTTCTGCTGGCTTTTGCTCCATTGTCAATGAAGCAAAAAGCTGTTCCCACTTTTGTAAATGATGTTTTTTTTTTTTACCCCTTTTAACAGAGATTGATTTCCCTCTTCTCAGTTAAGTTTTGTTTTCTGTATATGGATTTGTGGGTCTTTCTTTTGTTGCCTGCAAAATTTGATCAGTACCTGTATCTGTTCCCTCCAGACATTGAATCCGTTTTCTGAAACATATAGCCGAAAAGGAACCATTTTTTTTACAGAGAATACGAAAGCAAACCTGCCCTCGTCGTAACCTTGATGGAGATCGGCGCCTCAACCACGGCGGAAGAAGGCGCGAACTGCCGGGAAACCGCTGGCGCGAAACTTCTCGGACAAAGCTAATTCAGTTTTGAAACACGAGAACAGCAGTTTCCCGCCACCCATCGAGACAGAGCCATTGAGAGAGAGGAACAGGGACTGACAAAGGGAAAAACCCTAATTCGATGATCATCAGAAGTACTTCGAGTCAGAGCTCAATAGATAACAAAGCTATGGCTATCAAGATAGAAGCAAACACAGAACCAGAGTTTTCTTTTCCCTGGAGCAATTTATGGGATCTTGTTCATGAAATGAATACTTGGAAGAAAAAGAAAAGCTACGACTCTGGAAGGATGATGCTGCAGCAAAATTTCGAGATCTCTTGTCTGACTTTCACGCCTCGGACCCTTTGCCGTCGTATTGGCCCTCCGCCGCCTGAGTAACACCAACCTCTGCTGGCCTTATAACTCGATCGTACAACATGTACCCAGACTGAGACGATTAACAAAAGGGATCATGAAATTATGTCAATGGGAACCAAAACTTCTATTTGATCTTTTAGTTGCCATGGAAAATCTCAATTTATAATTTTATATGTGCTCCGAGTTCAACCAGAGCAAGAAAGACATGAAATCAAATAACCCGAATAAAGCTCTGTATCTTACCTTCAAGACATGAGCAACTGTGCCTTCAGGCTTCGAGGCATCCGGGACTTGGAACACGGCGTTATGCCTGTTCGGATCAAATGGCTCGTTCAAAGGATCATACTTCTCCAGACCAAATTTCTTGAATACCTGCAGATCACAGATGAATTGTCTTTTTTCAGAAACCACCCTCGTGTATGAGTTTCTTGTCTCGACAAGAAGGGTGACAAGATCAACACAAGAGTGAGAGATATAGCATCATCTACAAGAAGCTCTACCTCGGCTAGCTGTTTCTCAGTCATCTCCACCCCTTCTAGAAGGGTTTTTAACAGCGGAGCAGCCCCAGCCGAATCTTTCGAAGTGTCAATCTTTGAGAAACTATCTTTGACAACCGAAGAAGCTCTTCCAAGATTATCTGCCACATCCAAAAGACTCTTTGCGAAATTCTGCAGTAACGTTTCAGAAGGCGGAAGTATCAGTACATGTCTTGTAAAGAGAACAAGTTATCCAAGAAAGATGGCGTCCAAAAATACTAACCTGTATAGCATACTTTTTGGAGTTTTCGGCTTCCCGTCTTGTCCTGTCCATGACATTTTCCATCTCTGCGTAAGTGCGAAGAACTTTGTCTTTCATCTGTCCAAGCTCTTGGTGCTTGGTCTTTAGAAGCTCCTCCTTCTCAGCCACGAGTTTCACCAAATCATCCCTCGACAAATCATCAGCGTCGGTCTCTGAATCTGAATCAGAAAATGCAGTTCGTTTAGTACCCCTCCGCCTGCTTTGCACGGAAGAATCACCAGATTCTGAATCAAGACCTGATTCTTCTGTCTCGGTTGTAGCTTTCCCTGTCTCGGAATCTTTATCAACAGCACCTTCACTGGAGTTCGATGCCTCGGTGTTATTATTCTCTTTCTCATTGGGTTCGGGTGATGCAGAGGAAGAAAAACCAAATCTTTGAAAGGCAGAGGAATTAGCAGTGAGGTGATCGAAAAGGGACACCTGAGCTGGAACAAGCTGCAACGGGAAATCGTAAGCCGGGCAAGCAAAATTCAATGACCAAATCCTACTCTATTTGCTAAAAACCCTACATGAAAGCAATCCTCATGTAAAGATGAAAGATGAAGAGGAACACTGATTCAACTGACAAAGCAAGAAGATCCCTTGTAACAGTTAATGCCATTGTAGGATAAGCAGCAGAATATACTATATATCGTCACCATGAGCTATAAAGCCGAGTACGGAACATAATATAGAAAACAGTAACATTCAATCGACAGGCTTTCTAGAAGAAACGTTGAATTGAGATCAAAATCAAACAGACCCTTAAACCCTAGCAAAACCCTACGAAGGAATTAAGCACGAAAAATCATCAAATCGACACGGAACCTTACCTTATTAGGAGATTCCTGAACGAGGGAATGAAACTGACCGGAGAAGATTGAAACCCGATTCCTCACCGGAGCAGCGACGGCGGCGAGCGACGAGCGTAAGCCCGCGCTGCGAGAAACTCGAGACAAAACCCTCGAAACCAACATCACGAATATGTGTAACAAACAAATCAGAAACCACAAAAAGAACAAAGAATAGAAGCTTTATTCAGAGATGAGAACGGAGAGATTTTTTGTGTGTTTTTATGTCAATGTCTGGAGAGGGTGGCGAGAAACAGACGTGCTTGGGGAAGAAGCAAATCTCTCTTTACGAAATGACGGAAATGCCCTTAACGAGAGTGATCCTCTTCAACGAAGGGACAAAAATGTAAATACCGTTGTTCCGGGAGGGTATTATTGTTAATGTCCGACTCAGAGATCTCACTTGACATTTTATACAGTGAAGACCGTTTCCATTTTGAGCCCATGAACTTCGGCCATTAGGCCCAGTTCCAATCTAGATCCGAAATCTTGAGGATTATGTTACGTGGATTGCTATGTAATATATGAGCATACACACACACACATATATATATATATATATATGGGTGCATGTATATATATATATATATATAATCATATACAGTGTATATATAAATTCACAACAACCTCCTTGGCCCATTTCAAGCAAAAAAAAGAAAAGGTTTACAGAAGACAGCTATATATGGAAGTTAAACAACCTGCAACTTCACATTTGAAACATGAACACACACAGGTTTAGATGAACAAAACAGCAACAAGAACGAACAAACCTTGTTTTGTCCTCAACCACTCATCAAAGAGAAGCGTGTGTGTATATATATATATGTATATGTATGTGCTTATATGTGTTATGTTCCGTCTTGTAAACGATCACGAATCTTTCTAGTTCAAGAAATGATGCTTCTGTCACCAAAAAAAAAAAAAGGGGGGGGAGAGACAGTGCCTATATAAGTAAAGGTCCTAATTTAATGAAAGGGTCATTAGCTAAGTAGCTTCACCTCACTATACTGACCCAAGAACTGAATTATGTGGCCAATCTTAATGACAGCAATTAATATCTGTTTTGTGAACAAAATTAGGGTCGGTTCGGATTTGGATTCTGTTTTTTACTGGTAAAAAAACTCATTTTTTTTAAAAAAAAAATTCGATTTTCGATTATTTTTTATTCGGTTCGGTTTGAATTTGGTTTTTATATCAGATTCGTTTCGGTTATTGTTCTTATTCGGTTCGATTCAACTATTCCATTAATAATTAAAATATATCTAACTTTGTAACTTTTTTTTTTGGGTATGAAATCTAACTTTGTAACTTGGATTACAGGAATATTAAATATGATAGAAAATGTTTTGGTACGTTTTGTGGGCAAGTAGCTTTCAACCACTTTAATGCTTGAGCCGTATTGTTTACACCCTTCAACCAACTTCTGTCAAATTTCTTTCTCTCCACATAATACAAAGTTTTAGACTTTTTTTGTTTCTGAGATTCACATCCAAAGAAGAAACCGATTCAAAGCCATGATGCATGAGAGAGTTCTTCTCTTACTGTTCATCATGGCTCAGATAGTAGAGCAAACGCCGATAACCGACGGGAAAGTTCCCGCGGTTATCGTGTTCGGAGACTCTACCGTGGATTCGGGGAACAATAACCAGATATCTACGGTCCTAAAGAGCAATTTCCAGCCTTATGGCCGGGATTTCTTCGGCGGTCAGCCCACAGGGAGATTCTCAAACGGTCGGATTCCGCCCGATTTCATCTCGGAAGCTTTCGGGGTCAAGAAAACGGTGCCCGCTTACCTCGACCCCGCATACAGCATCGCAGACTTTGCAACCGGAGTCTGCTTCGCTTCAGCTGGAACCGGCTATGACAATGCAACTTCTGATGTTCTTGTAAGTCATATAACTATATATATATATATATATATATATATCAATCCATGATTAAATATTATAGTTCTGTAACATATATATATATATATATTGTATCCTATATAGTCTGTGATACCATTATGGAGAGAACTGGATAACTACAAGGAATATCAGAGCAGGCTGAGGAGTTTTCTTGGTGAAGAAAAAGCAGATGAAGTTGTAAGGGAAGCACTTTACTTGATAAGCATAGGAACAAATGATTTCCTCGAGAACTATTACCTTCTTCCTCATCGATCGTCTCAGTATTCCGCCGACGAATACCAGAAATTCTTGGCCGGAATCTCGAGGAATTTCATCGCGGAGCTCTACGGACTCGGGGCTCGGAAGATCTCCCTGACGGGCCTCGTCCCTATCGGATGCTTGCCCTTGGAAAGAACGACTCGTATCATCTACGGAAGCCAATGCATCGATGAATACAACGATGCGGCGAGAGATTTCAACGTCAAGTTAGAGTCCATGGCTGCAGAGATGAACCTGCAGCATTATGGACTCAAGCTCGTGTTTTCAAACCCATACGGGCTATTCTCTGAAATCCTAAACAATCCTCAATCATTTGGTTAGTTTTTTTAAGACTAACTTCTGTCAGTTCCACGTGTAATCAGATTTCCAAGATTCTTGGAACAAAGATTCTGTGTCTGACAATGTGTTCTTGATTCTGATTTTCAGGCTTCCGTAACGTGAGAAGTGCATGCTGTGGAACCGGTTACTACGAGATGAGCTACTTGTGCGACAAGCTGAATCCGTTCACGTGTACGGACGCGGACAAGTACGTGTTTTGGGATTCGTTTCACCCGACGGAGAAGACCAACGCCATTGTCGCAGCCCATATTCTCAAGCACGACCTTTCTCAGTTCCAGTGATACACATATATATATTACGTATTTACATATATGCCGTGTTTTTGTATCAATGCGTGTGTATCCACAGTATTTTTAGATAATATTTTTATTTTTTTTCCGACATTGATTCTATATAGATAGAAGTAAAAATATTGTCCCAGCTTCTTATCCCTGGTTTCACTTTGGGACATTAAGCTTGTGTTGTACGAGAAGTTTCATGTTGAATCTGTTTTAGTAATTTTAAGGACATCTCGTATAAAATAATTATATAATTGAAAAAAAAAACAAGATAAATTCGGAGAAAGAAATATGAAGTTTTATTTAAATTCTCATAAATAAATATAATTTTTTTCGTGTGATATAAAAAATGAACTATTTAAATCTTGTCAAATTACACATCGAGTGAATACTGAAATATGAAGTTTTTAATTTGATAATATTTACATAATTAAAATTTAATATGAAAGAATAAAATTTCATATTTGTTTCTCCGAATTTTAAAATTCAGTATTTACATTTATATAAGATTTTCCATAATTTTAATTGTTTTTTTTATTTTTTTTCAAAAAAGAGTTAGGCCTTATGTAAAAAAAATATGGATAAAAGAGATGGACCAATTAAAAGCCCAGACACTATATGAGGTGGGCCCATTAAAGTTTGGACGGCGTCGCTTAAACGCGAATACTATACTCTCTCCGCCGTTGGATTAGAGACTACCACAAGAATGTGAGCCGTTCGATCGGCACCCCACGGTACCCCCACTCGGCAATTTGTAGAATCGGAATCGACGAGGAGCAACACAAAGTCCTTCCCTTTATTTGCTCTCTCGATTCGGAGCCGCCATTCTGATCGACGCGAATTTCTCGCTCCAGCTACTGGGTTCCACTAATCGAAGGTTTTCACGGCGAAGAATCTAGGAAGCGAAGATGTCGGTTAACCAGGAAGAAGACAAGAAGCCTGGCGACGCTGCTGCTCACATCAATCTCAAGGTCAAGGGCCAGGTCTCTCTCTTTCTCCCCCCTCCCCCTCCCTCTTGCTCTTGTCGAATCGTGTTTGCACGGCGATTAGTTTCTGATTTGGGGGTTTGGGTTGATGTGACTAGGGGTTTTTTTATTCGATGGCGTCTTTGTTGTTCGAATTCTAGGGTTTTACTTTTGAATCGTCTGCTTTAAGGATTTGGTATATAGAAGAGTGGTTACTGTTTGAATGGAGTGTATTAGTGTACGTTTCGTTCCTCAAGTTGAAACCATTACGATCATAGAGGTCTCTAATGATGGCTGTCTTGCATTTTCATAGCAATCCGTTGTATACATGGCGAATTTAAGACTAGTGTATTTCTTATCTGCGTGTGAAATGGTGGATTCTGTAAAAGGATTGACCGATTGAGAGAGTTGTGTCTTGTGGGATGTGTTCATATGAAGTCACAAGCAGACAGTCATTCGAAATCTCACTACAATGATAGTTCATAAAGTCGATTCCTCATCCAATTTTTGAGGGTAGGCTGTGTAATGGTTAAGTGTTTTCATTTACCAGTTCTTGGTTATGAATCTTATGATATGTGCTCTTCTCCTCTTTCAAAGGGGCGTGCCAAGGAAGAGATGTTACTTTCATCGATATTCTTGTACAGTTCTTGACAATGATGTTAACAATGGCTACTGGGTCAGATGTCATGACCTTAAATGTCATAGAGAGACAGGACAGGATTGAGTTCATTTCCTCTGTGTGTGTGTAGGATGGCAATGAAGTGTTCTTCAGGATCAAGAGAAGCACTCAGCTGAAGAAACTGATGAATGCTTACTGTGACCGGCAATCCGTGGACATCAACTCGATCGCTTTCTTGTTCGATGGGCGTCGTCTCCGTGGCGAGCAGACTCCCGACGAGGTACATTTTCATCGTTCCACCATTACAGTCTCTCTTTCTTGCAGTTTCATCTTCAACTACAATGGTATTACTACTACTTACTTACCCTAATCTTTCTGATACCATAGCTGGAGATGGAAGACGGTGATGAGATCGATGCAATGCTTCACCAGACCGGAGGCGATATGGCCTGACCTGATAACAATAATTCTAGGGTTTTAATGTTTCTCGTGAGATGGTATTGTGAATGGATAATATCTTTCGGACAACATAAGATTTTCCATGTCTTGTTGGTTTATGTGACCATTGTCCGTTAGAACAAGACAGGTCACTCACTATATAAACCTTCTGTTTCATCGTTTGGTAGTATTATGATGGTAATCGTTTGCTAATCCGCTTTGTTTTGGTATAATTATATCAATAAGGCGTAATTAGGGGTTCAATCAGGTTGGTTTATCTCCCCTCTTATTATGAGATTTTGTCAAATCCTTTGAAAATCATCGATTAGTAAATTTAAATTATTCAAAGGAACAAAGTAGATATGGAAAATCCGATGGAGGGCTTCCATTTTACATGACTGGACCGAAATGGTCCAAGTTCTTCTACTGTCTGTGTCATTGAAATTTTGCAATAAAATAAAATAAAATTAAAACTTACAAGAGTTTCCTTATAATTTTCTGAATAATTATTCTATAAAAAGCATAACAAAAGAAGGGAATTTCGGATGTAAAATGAATTGTCAAGATTTATTTATTTATTTTTCTGTTTCCCTTCAAACAAAATCAATACAGATCTTCACATATATAAAAATATGACCTTTTGGGTCAATCTTAATCAGGAGATACCGTAGATACTTAGGGATTTATTGCTAAATGTGGGCAAATCCTAGAATTAATTTAATACTATAAAAACGCTACGGCCAGTTTTGGTTAAAAAAAGTGAAAATTATGTTAAATACAGGCTTCAATGCAATTCAATTCATCCAACACATGTGCATGCATATAATCAGAGAGAGAGAGAGATGCAAACATGCTGAGTGAATTTTGACAAAAAAAAAAAAACATGGTGAGTATTCAGAGCTTAATATTCTTGATGATGACGACGACAATGGCTGCAGCTGCAGCAACGAGGAATTACACAGAAGCTCTGTCCAAAAGCTTCGTCTACTTAGAATCGCAGCGTTCGGGTCGATTACCTCGTAGCCAGAGAATCGCATGGCGCCACAACTCCGCCCTCACCGACGGCCTCCAACACGGCGTACGTAGAAAATTCCAGGGTCCATTCTGCGCGTTACAAAACTTCGCGTCTCGTTCTGCGAATAACGTTAAAATATGCAGGTGGACTTGGTCGGAGGATACTACGACGCCGGAGACAACGTCAAGTTCGGTTTTCCGATGGCGTTTACGGTGACGATGTTGTCGTGGGGAGTGATCGAATACGGCTCCGAAATTTCCGACGCCGGCGAATACGATCACGCCCTTCTCTCCATCAAGTGGGCGACTGATTATCTCATCAAAGCTCATCCTCGTCCCACCGAGTTATGGGTCCAGGTTAGGTTCATTACCGCCATGGATTCTTCCACCAAGTTTTCGATTTTGTAAATCGATATTCCATCGTTTAAATCTGGTTCATCCATCAGGTGGGTGATGGGGAGACCGACCACGGGTGTTGGCAACGGCCGGAGGACATGACGACGTCGAGGAGAGCGTTTAAGATCGACAAGAACAATCCCGGCTCAGAAGTCGCCGGAGAAACCGCAGCGGCCATGGCCGCAGCTTCCATTGTTTTCCGTCCAGTTGATCTACCTTACTCTCGTTTACTGCTCCGCCATGCACGACAAGTAAGTAACTCAAAGTATCATTATTCATTGCCCACCAAAACCTCTAAAAATCCAGAATGGTAATGCTTTTAAAAAATAGAATATTCAAAAATCAAACCGAAATAAATAATAAAAATCTAAAAAAAAAAGAAAATTTATTAAAAACTAAGTCTAAATGAATATAATAACCGATTGATATATATTTTTTATAACCGAATAACTCGAATCTCCATATCGAGTATCCGTACTTAAAAATCCGGGGAGATCTCGGATAAAAATGTCCACCCTTAATTTATGCTAATTCGTTTTCCACCCCAAGAAGTGTAAAACCCTCGATTTAGCACCCCACAATTTTTTTCTTTTTTTTTGTGTGCGAAGTTATTCGAGTTTGGGGACAAGTACAGAGGGAAATACGACGAGAGCGTGAAGGAAGCGAAAGGATACTACAAGTCGGTGAGTGGGTACAAAGATGAGCTGTTGTGGGCTTCTCTATGGCTCTACAAAGCCACCGACGATGAAATTTACCTCAACTATTCCCTCCTTAACGCCCTTGAATTCGGTGGAATCACTTGGGCCATCACCGAATTCAGCTGGGACATCAAATTCGCCGGTCTCCAGATCATTGCTTCCATGGTAACTTACCAAACCCTAAACTCAGTTTCCGGTCTTGTCCGAATTCTGATTCTGTCTCTATCTCGGCCCCTGCAGTTGCTGAGCGAAGAGAGACACCAGAAACACAGAAATGTGTTAGACAAGTACAGGGAGAAGGCAGAGTATTACCTCTGTGCTTGTCTCGGCAAGGGCGGTGCGGCTAATGTGGCTCGAACCCCGGGAGGTTTGCTGTATGTCAGGCAATGGAACAACTTACAGTACGTGGTGACTGCCTCGTTTCTGCTCGCCGTCTACTCTGATCATCTCCGGGCCACCGGCCGGCGGCTCGTGTGTGGTCAAGGGGCAGTGGGTGCTGGTGAAGTCTTGGCCTTTGCGAAAGCGCAGGCTGATTACATCTTGGGCAATAACCCGCAAGGGATGAGCTACATGGTCGGGTATGGTCCGAGGTTTCCAGTGAGAGTTCACCATAGAGGAGCCTCGATTGCATCGTACCGGGACGAGAAGGGTTTCATCGGATGCGTCGATGGGTACCACCGATGGTTCCATAGCAAAGATCCAAACCCGAATATCATCATCGGGGCTATTGTAGGTGGCCCTGATAAGAACGACGACTTCGAAGATAGACGAGATAACTTCAGACAGACAGAGGCTTGCACATATAATACTGCTGCCTTTGTCGGGGTGTTAGCTAGATTACATGGACTGGAACACCAATCCCCGACTGCTCATAGTTAAACAAGGAAAAAAAAGATTTTTTTTGTTTCAAAAGCTTCAAAGCAGCATTGTAAAAGACTTCCAATTCGGTGTATACAGCAGGAACATTAAAGAGGAACCTGGTGTAGTGAAACCAGACTAAGTTTCTTGAAGATAATCATAACTTCCCCAAGATCAAACACGGTTTTTAACGCAAAGTTTGACGCCCACATCTTTGAGTAAACGAGGATGAGAGACCTTGCCAGCTGATGAATCGTTCAAGACTTATTTCCCGAGTCTGTAGAAGAACCTGAGAGATGATTGAAAACAAGAGGCGGGCGAAGTGCTTTGTGATTAGCCGATGCCTCTTTCCGAGCTTTATACATCTCTTCTGTCTCAACGACGACCAACCTCTTAACCTGCTTATTACACATAATGTCAAAACACACATTGTTATGTCAAAATCAAATATTACTTAGAAAAAGGAATGGGGGTAAAGGAAAGGAGAGATCTTTACAAAAAAAAAGAACCTGTTGAACCATTCCCCTTATGGATGGAGTGTTAGAATGCATGACGGTACGGTTGCACTTGCTGAGGCCAATGGCCTCGAGGGTTCGCCTGTGAAGCCTCCTGGTCCCGGGAATACCCCTCACTAGGGTTATGTATAAGTTCTTGCTCCACTCAATGGGCACCTGAGCTTTGAAAGCTCTGAAACCACTCATCCTTTTTTCCCAAGATTATGACCAGTGTCCTCTGCCAACACACCCAAACATCGAAAACACGAAAATTATGATAAGAAACGAAAACAGATTTAGTTGAACAATTACCAGACTTGATTTCTGTCAGCTTAAATTCGGTTCCTATGCATAAGCAATCAACATGAGTTCTGCGAGAAATGTGTTCTGAGAGATACGCATAATGTATTAAGCTTTCACATTGAAGTACTCTCGGCCAGAACCAGACACAAGCAAGTGAACTAAAACCGCAGCCCATGTGCTTTCTTGTTGCATCTAAAAGGGTCATCTTTCAAGTAAATGCTTCAACTTCACACTAACTCCTCACAAAAAAAAAGATCCCCAACTTTAAACTTAATACCAAAATCCTTCAAAATATTCTGTGAAATTGCAGCTTTAGAAGGAGACTCTGCACCAATTTGGATCAGTGAACAATAGTGTGAACGCATATCGAGACAATTCCGCGACTTCGATTTCAAAAACCCTAAATTCCACAGCTCATTACAATCAAAGCAGAAAAGCATGGACTCGGAAAAAAGGGCTCAAACTATACAATTAATCGAAACCAATATCTGCTTGAGAAAAGGATAGATCGACCACACAGAGAACTCATTCGCCCTGTTTTCAAATCAAAGCAGAGAAACAACGTCCGAATCTCCAGACAGAGAATCAAACACCAAGAGTAAAAGTTGTCAAATCGAAATGAAATGTACGACGCAACAAGGAATCCAAACCTGAGAGGAAAACGCCGACGACAAATAGATGTCACCCCTCGGACAAAGACGATCTCCGGCAAAATTACCGGGAGACACAGCAACGAAAAAGGAAGACGAGAGAGAACGGACCCGTGAAGCAAGTAGCCGCCGGGGGGAGAGAGAGAGAGGAGAGAGTTTGAGACGGAGCCGCCGAGGGTTTGGGAATCAGAGAGTACGAGAGGTAAAAATAAACCGGAGTTAAAATCCAAACCGAACCAAAATAACCGAACCGATATATTGAATTTCTCTACATGTCTTACAATATTAAACAAAACCCAAAAAGCAAAAACAAGCGATGATATCCTATATACATCATCATCCATTGACCATGATGACGATATCTATGCCATTATATATCTATACGTATATATATATCATATAAAATTATTACACCCTAAGTGTCTTTGGAAGAGGTGTTAATGGGAAAATCACCGTCTCCTCTCTTGTCATCTTCCTCGTTCCGTTTGAACCTCTTCTTCGCCTTCTCCGCCTTCTCCGCCGTCTGGCATTCCCTGGCCTTCTCCTCCGCCGCTCTCTCGAACTCCTCCGCCGTCGACGGAGCCCTTCCCTCTTTCTTCCCGCCGGTTTTACTCCATCTCTTCTTCCACATACATATATACCCAATATCATCATGAACTATATATCTACATACATACACATACATATATACGCTTCACAATCTTGTAATAACGTCCAATAACTTTGTAGTTATATACATATATATATATAATAGCATACTGTGCATTACGTTGTTTTCCGATTTGGAGAAAAGGGATTGAGCAAGAAACGAGTACCTTGAAAGAGAGAGAGTAGTAAACACATGATTTTACAGGCCTCGAGACAGATGATTGTTTCACGAAATGGATGAGCATATTTCTTCTGCTTTTACAAATTAAAGTATATTATTTCACATCTCAAAGGCATAGAGAGATTGGCAGATAGTTACACCAGTGATCGAAGAACCCCACGTATATATAGAACACGTGCCTCCCTTGCGAGGGACTTCACGAGTCACGTGTCCGTGGACTACGTCTGTATACATGCATGCATCGCTATCACACACACATATGGGAACACAAACTTATCGTTATCCGCCTCCCACCTGTGCAAATATTATTTATTTTCAATAATAATATCGAAAACTGATATTTCTCTTTTCGAAAACCGAATCGAAATTGATGAACTTTAGAATCCTCAACTGCGGAATCACAGAAAATACGAACAAGATGAAACGCCAAAGGGTTTCTTCAAGAACTCCATTCTGTCTGAAAATCATTTCTTTTCATTATCTTGGACCTCTTCCTGCTCGTTGTTGTAACGACGTTTGAACTTGGCAATCTGACCTATGCTCTCTGCCATCTGACGCTTAGCCCTAAAGTGGTAAACTTTACCGGCATGGTGGATCCTTGTCATCATGACATGCATCAATCTACCGCTCTGCGTCACGTACGATATCCACTGCATCTGTGGGTGTAACCCTTTCTTCATTTCCAACAAAACCTGCAAAATCAAAGAGCATGTATATCATATTCTCACTACGATTTCTCCACTCCATGGACATTGTGTTCTTCACAAGAAATGGTCAATGAATCTCCTCGCGACAAGTAAATAAACAAAGGAAACCGTTGGTGGGTTTCAACTTCTAGACAAAGCGAGCATCAACAAATGCACCCGGAAGATAAAACAAAGACAAGCAAAACATTTGCAAGCCCGGATCCATTTTTCATAAAGATGTTGCCTTTATCTTACAAAACTAATTCAAGAACTAGACCCTGGGGGGCAATTGAAATTCATCATGCCAAGACATTCAATGTGAACATCTAACAAAACAACAAATGAGGCACTATAATCAGACCGGTCAGATCATGCAGCATTCATTACCGATTGGTACCTATCCTCCGGCAAAATGCAGCAGGTTAGAGAAATAAATCCATTATAAGGATGTGTGATAAACTAAGACATCAAATTTAAGGCACCCATAAACTGAACAAGTCCGTAACTAATTGTAGCACCAGCTCATTGGTTCACCTTCTCTCTCTCAGCTAGACACGTGATGTCCTCCCAAGTAGACATGATCAGGACTGGATCTCTCTATTTATTGACAATTATGAGGAAATTTTGTCGACCAATGAACAAATTTCGTCAATTTGGGTACCGAAATCTTAGCAGCGTCTAATGGGTCTAACAGGACTTAGATACTAGCCCGAGCTCTCTCCTCGGAATTCCGTCGAACACCTTAATCGCATGTTCGTAATCAACACCCCTTAACCCAAAAATATCAGGAAATAAATTTTCTTTAAGCGAAACCCATCATTTAGATCCTCCCACAGCGGAACTGAACAAGAAAAAACATCTCGGAATCCAAAGCATGAGTAGAAGATCGTCCGAATGAACAAATTCGGACGGAAACAAGGGACGGAGAGAGAGAGATAGAGAGATTGAGGCTACAAGGTACTTACGCTATGATCCCGAGGAAGGTGTTAACTTTGATATTCGAAGCTTCAGAGCTTCGTGCAACGGCGTCAATGGAAGATGGCGGAGTCGAGTTGGTTCTGTGCTACTCTCAGGCTTTTTCTCTCGCACCAGCGAATGGATCCCATTTTAGGCCCAACTAAAAACCCACTAAGGACTTTCATAGAAAATTCGAAACATAAATTTATATTTTTCGAGATATTTTGTCAAGATAAAGCCCGAATAAATAAACAATTAAGATGATTAAAATAATATATGTTTATAAAATTTTAGTAAAATATTTTTTATAAATTTAAAATTATATATTATCCTTAAATTTTTATTTATATTTTAGTTTATAGTTTAGTTTAAGGATATGTTTAAAAATTAATAATTAAAAAAAGTGTTTTAGTTTTCAGTAATTTTCATGTGTTTTCAATGAAAAGTGTTAGGAAAATCCTCAAAAAATTATAAAAATTGGCATGAATTATTGCACGTGTTACGGTTTGGTGGTTGCAATGCCGTCTTCTTCTTAATCATTCTAATAATGTTAAAATGGGTTGGGTTATCCAATCCAATAATAATTTTATTTGGGTTATATATTTGGATTATATTATTTAACTCATAAAGATTATGTGTTTAATCCAAATTTGGGTTATACAATTTAACCTGGATTAAACTCATACAATTCATTTAATCAATATAATTCAAATACATAACCCAAATAAAATTATTATTGGATTGGGTTGGGATAATTCGTTTAACCCATTAAATCCAACACATTTAACATCTGTCAATTGCCAAAGATTCAATTAGCTAAAAGCTTTCTTGGGCGACAAGCAAGGACCAGAAACGAATACCCTAAAGAAACCACATGGTACATTGATAGAAGAAGCCAAAAGCATAGAACACTACCGGTAAATTCCTGACACATCCCGAATGTCCAGTGATGTTTTTTACACAGAAACATCATAAAAAAACAAGCTTTCAAGCAAATACCAGACGGATGCAACTACAAAGAGTTTGCTTATTTACGCCATTAGATTATCATAATTGCAGACACGAACCAAACCCCACGAGCAGGAAGGAACAGACACCCTTGTCGTCTTCACTGAAGGACAAGGCACTCGGGTCCAGTCCTGTTCACAGTGGGACCGCCGTGGGACCGGAGGGTCGCGTCCACATCGCCGTCCATCGGGTTCTCGAGATCGGGTTCTCCTCCTCTGTCCTGTTCTTGGCCGCATTGGCCTATGGCCTCGAAGATTAGAGCTGTCACTTCCTCGAATCTTGCCTCTGAGAGAGATACTTCTGCAAGTAGACTCCAAGCATTTTCCTCTGTCGCCTCTTCATAGTCCTTCTTTCTCTTCAGCACCATATGCCCACTTATCTCCCAGACGGCAGGGTTCACTTGTGTGTCCAGTAGCTCTGGTCTCACTTCTCCTAGAGCTTGTTTCTCTGCATAACACTGCATTTCACAATTTTTCACCCATTTTTAACATCTCTGATGCACCGGTACATTGATTCACCAGCCAAATTTATTCTTCTTTAGTTACCTGAGGCAGCAGGAAAATCCGCTTTCCACAATCGGAGATGAGAATGTTGAAAGGGATGTTGTTATTCTGGAGGCAAATGCAGGCTTCCGACACGGTATCAGATAGGTTCTGCACGGAGTTTCCGCCTTCAAAGAGAAACCCTCTGACTGGGAAACTCACAAGTTTCGAAATCTTCACACCAGTCTCGGTGGTAGTGATCTTCTTGGTAGGAGCTTTCTCGATCGGGAACGGCATGGCCAAATAGTAAGCCTGCCCCAGGCAAATCACCGTCAGTGTCACAGATAACAGATCTAACATTGACAGGAAAAAGGGTTGATGATCGGGTTGTTATCAGAACCTGAAAATGCAGATGGTTGATGGTGGCGAATGCACCCAAGCTGTTGTAACCAAGTCGGAAGTACGGATTACCGGCCTCAGCAGCCATGTGAAGGGCAAGCAAAAAACTCTGGTGGTCGATCTTCTGAGGCAAGCACTCAAGAACACGTGGGATCAGCAACACATGCCCATACTCAATCGGACTAACCTGTTTAAACCCGCAAAACCGAGGAACAATGAGTGTTGCTACATAGTAAACACTCTTTTTGAGCCAAGAAAACAAAAAGGAAGAAACTTTTACATTGATGGCAACAACGCTGGGCGAGTTATCAGCATCAAGAGGCATGCTTGGAAAGAATTGAGCTTCGCCATCTTCGGTAGCTTCAAACTGGAAGAGCACCTCTTCTTGGCCAACTTTAGTAAAGTTGAACTTGTTCCCATCAAAAGGCTGGAGAACCTTATCAACACGGAACTCGGTTGGCCTCTTCTTGAGGTGTCGGCCTTCGTTCAGCTGAGCGATGAATCCATATTTGCCCGGAATAACCTAAACATCGACAAGACATACTCTTTTAAGAACTAGGAGCTCGAGCAGAAACTAACAATGTCCTGTGCAAATTCAACCAGAGAAAGAACACAACGTAAGAGACAATGCCTTGGTTTCACAGGCGGTGACATCATAGCGAAAAAGTCCTCTTTGGAACCGATCCTCCCACTGCACACAAGAATTGGTACAACAGTTTTAAGGTTAACAGAAGCCATGATCAAAATGACCGATTCATCAAATAAATTCACAAGCTTTTCCTATGAATGGATTGGGATTTAGGAATCATGTACCTCCCCAAGAACGAGGGACTCGAGGAATGCCACGGGAAGCTCTCTGTCCTCGTGTCTGACCACAAGCTTCTCACCGGCGATCACTTTGTCGAGCTTCTTGCAGGCATACAAGGGAAGCCTTGCACCTGCTCAGATCAGATGTACGCGAATTTCTTATATACGATGAATCAAACAAGTAAATTTTCTTAATTTCCACGAAATTTGTGTCTGGAAAGGAAACAGTTTTAGCACGTACCATCGATGCAGCACTTGCCGAGGCAATTCCGGCCACACCCTCCGCAACGGACAGCCTCTTCCGTCGTCTCTTCCTTCTGGTAGTTCGACACGACGGTCGGGACCCTCTTGATCTTCAACATTCTCGAAATCGAAGAGAAAAACCCACACAAAACGCGAACTAACAAACAGTGCAAATCACTCTACGGCCTGAAAAACTAAAAGCCTAATAGAAGAGGAAAAAGCTGGTGGTGGAGAGAGTAGAACCGCCGCCGGCGAGGAAGAGGAGATCAGAAGGGCTGCCGCCTTCAGACGGCAGAGCTCCACGTCCACCGTGCGGCGATGGGTTGGTCTCGATCAAGCAAACCTTGCGTCGGACATGAAAGCTGAATGTCCGAGTTATTATCCCGTGTATAGCCGTGATGCCGACGAATTGTTCTTCCCCAATTTTACGATCGAAGCAGAAAGCGCCGGAGCATGGAACGAACAAAGACGACGACGACCGGGCACCGGAAACTGCAGATTCCGACGTAAAACCCCGAGAATTTCAGAGAAAGGCGAGATCTTTCGAGGAGGGTTTAGGGCGGATAATCGAATTTCGCTTGGAATCCTTCTGATACCGTGAGAATATGAGGGGATCTGGATGGCTTTAAATAGATAAGATACGAGTGAACACGAAGAGACAGGAGAGAGAATCACGGGTTCTATTTGTGGCTCCGATTTGGCCGTGAAGGCGGTTACCAAACAAAAACAAGGGTCCACGACGAACTAGGTCAAATCGGGTTTAACCCGATTCATCGAAACCGGGTTGACCCGATGGAGAGATCACTCGCCGCCGGCGACGGTGAATTACCAAAAGTGAGACATCGACGTTGACGTCACGTGGCGTACCCAATAACTGAATCTGAACACGAGCAACTTTAAGTTAGTTGTAAATTTACTTTCATGTGCAAAATCTGCAAAGTGTGAAAATGAAAGGTCACGTGAAACTAGCCGTCATTAATTAATATTTTAGGGTAAAACTCTAAAAAAACCTCCAACTTGTAAAAATATATACAAATAAACTTTTAACTTGAAAAACTATCATTCAATCCCCGAACTTATAACTTGTCACTGAATAAAACCTCGAATTTGTAAATTATTGTTCTAATAAACCTTTAACCGGTTTGACCACAATTTTAAACGATCGGAAATCTACGTATTGACGGATTGCTGATGTCATTTATTTAAATTAAAATTGATAACGTGTATAAAGTGACATCAACAATCCGTTAATATGTGGATTTCTGATTGCCTTAAATTGTGGTCAAACCGGTTAAAGGTTTATTAGAGCAATAATTTGCAAGTTCAAAATTTTATTCAGTGACAAGTTACAAGTTCGGGGATTGAATGATATTTTTTCAAGTTGAAGGTTTATTTGTATATATTTTTGCAAGTTAGAGGTTTTTTAGGGGTTTTACCTGATATTTTAATTTTAATTTTAATTTTTAATTTTAATCGATTTTTAATGGGAAATATCCCAAAATAATACATGAACTACTCAATTTTGACAAAATAAAACCTGAACTTTATTTTTTATCAAATAAAACTTGAACTTCATTTTTCAGTCAAAAATAAACATGAACTTTATAATCTTTGTCATTTTTAACCCTATTGCTGACGTGACGTTCCGATATTCTACGTGGCAAGTCAACATTTTGACCGTATTTGACACATCATCGTCCACGTGTCACGATATCGGAATGCCACGTCAATAACATGGTTAAAAATGATAAAGATCATAAAATTTAGGTTTATTTTTTACTAAAAAAATGAAATTCAGGTTTTATTTGATAAAAAACAAAGTTCAGGTTTTATTTTGTAAAAATTGAGAATTCAGTTATTATTTTGGAATTTTCCCATTTTTATGTGTATCCTTCTTATTTTGTGTCTACTGCTTCCATTAGTGTGTCTTAAACTTGGTTACAAAGGTAGAACATATGATGGTAATAATGTAGAATCAACGCATCTAACACTGTCGGTAGAGGATATAATTCATATTACCGAGTCGGATTCAACAGTTTCTTATTTTAATTTGATTCCCAATCTAAATTGTATAAAGAATCCGAGGCCAATAATTATCAAAACATATATATATATATATATATATCCCTATAAGTACTAATTTTCCATTTTTTTAATATAAAAATGTATATAGCCTTACAAGTTTACAGTTTAGGGCAACATATGCTAGAAAATTTGATATAAAAAGTAATTTCAATTTTATGGAAAAAGGGTACAAATAATGGTATGAACATTCTTATATAAGAACTAATTTCCATTATTTTTCAACTAATATATATATATAGTTTTGTTTTATTTAGGAGTATTATTAGTTTCCACTAATTTTTCAGAAACTTTTGTTCTATTTCAAATGAGAATTTCTTCAGCTGTAAATTAGGTATAGATATTTTAAGGTATTTTATCAATTCTCCGCAGTTTTTTTTTATGAAAAAATCGAAATAAGAGGCATATATCGATCCACGTCAAGCCCTTGCATCAAAGAAGAGGCTCCACTAATTTTAGTCGTTCTCCTAACTTGTGTCGGATTAGAAATTTACCAAATAGACCTTTGAATATATTATCATAAATATATGCAACATGAATGCATACACACACATATATTAATATATATATATATTATACAAAATAAGTTCCAATTGGTTAAAACTGTCATCATCGACCGTTCGTTAATTGCTGATGCGACGTGTCGTTTTAGTGGTCAAGATTTCGGTATGGGTTTAGGGATTTTGTAGAATTGTGACAAGAGTGTGGACCAATCATTCATTTTACGAATAAAATAAAATAAACAAAATTAATACAAGATTCGGAATCTAAACCAGAATATCGGTCTTGAACCGTGGAATGGTGGTCCGTTCTCTAGTTGGTGACCTCTTGAAGAATATACACCGTATCTTTCCATTCATCATCTCTCAAGCACACAATTTATACGGTCAATCCCTATATATATATATATATGGAAGACTAGAAGAATATATAATGGGTCAAGTTTAATATTATTTTGGTACAAATTTAATTTTATTATATAGGTATATAACAATTTAATTTCAAATTTTATAAATTTTATAAAGAAATTAAAAATTGTAATTAAATAAACGGGGCATGTGACCCCATTCATACCTCTGTATAGGTCCGGCCATAATATATCAAGTTGTACCATGTATCATGTGGCAATTTACATAGTCCTAATACACGTGGTAAGGAAAAAAATGGGACGTAAATGCTAGTTGTTGGTATATAGTTTGGTAATTCAATGTTATAAATACTGCTCATTTCGACCAATTAATTAATTGTAATTCTTTATATATGTTACTCTCCAACCATTATTTTTTCATGCAATATATTGATTACACACATATAATACGGATAAACACATGATTATAAATCAAATTAAAAATCAATTCTTAATTCATGTATTTACCCTTCAAAACGTTGTTGATACCGATCCAAAATCCCCGTGTGTATATATATATATATATATATAATCAAATGATTAGATCGTTAATAAGAAATATAAATTACTCGATCGTCTTGCATGCAAATTAACTTTTTGATATGATCAGGCGTAGTTGCAGAGGCCGTAAACGCAGAAATCGCCGGCCGGACAGCGGCGGGTGCACTGACCGCAGTGGCGTTTGTCGTAGGCCAAGTAAACGCACTGGCCACGGCAACACGTCTGAGAGAACTTGCACCTGTTCTTACACGCGCCACAGTTCTTGTCGTCGTACGACAAGTCAACGCACTTGTTGTTGCAACACGCTGCGGTTGCGTTCCCGCCATAGGAGCTGCATATCTCGGGGTTCTTGTGGCAGTGATCCGCGGCGTTTGGGTTCCTCGTCGGCTTCTCCGTTTGTGACAAGAACCTTCTCGGCTCTGTGTTTGTCTCAGGAGCCAAAAGGGTCTTCGTTTCTTGAACGTTCTTGTCGTGATCTACGGCAGTTGCGGTGGTGATTATTGCGATTGCGATCGCGGTTGTTACCGCGATTGCCACAAGTAGTTTTACGAGCGCCATTGCTAGAATGCGATTGAGCGTTCAAGATTTGGGAGGGAATCGAAATTCGTGACTTACCAAGAGAGGAGAGTGGAGTTAGGGTTTATATATAGCGAGTAGAGTTGACGCGAGAAACGGGGTAATTAAAAAGGCGACGGAGGGCTTCAAGTGATCGAGCTTCTGTTTTTCTTTTTAATTCGTATTTTATCAATTGAATCTATTTATTTTATTCTGTGAGAAAAATAGGGGGTTTATTTTCTACTAAACGATGTAATATAGACATGCACATGCAATCATTAATTTTTTTTGTTTTACGTTGTTTACTGTACTTCCTATTATTTTGGTTGATTTTGATTTACACCCTCTTTCGTTACAGCGCATAACACTCCCATACAAATATCGAGTATTACTCAAATTTAATTAAACAATTTAAATCGTAAAAGAAGGATTAGTGGTAAAGTAATTAAGGATTTGGTTTATAAGTATATTCATGACCTACAGTACTGAATCAGATACGTGAACCATGAAAAATTGTAAGGAGAAGCAAAGGTGTGTGTATATATATATAATATGATAATACACATAAGCAAAATTGGACCTACATATCGCTTCTAATAGGCATTGACTTTAGCTTGAGTAACCCAGAAAAAATAATATATCAAAGACTAAAATGATTGACATGATATGATTGCTAGCCTTTCACACAAATTCCACCAAAAGGAACAGAGGAATGCAAGTCGTTTTTCCTTCAGAAAACAGCACGCGTTTTCCCTCTTTTCAGTGGTAAAGATCGAGAACCGGTAAAACGACGTCGGACTTGGCAATCATTCTTCTCCCCGTGTTCCTTCTTTTCTCCTCGTCGCCGTGCTGCTGAATTTCTCTTTGGTTATATCGCCCGAAACTTCCAGCTAGGATCGACAAACCCTAGCTCTTCTAAGCCCCTTCTGCTCGGAAAACCCACCGGCGTGAGAATCTTCGATGGATCTGGAGGTCTTTGGACGGCACGCTCTCCTTTTCGACGACGATTCCATGGCGGCGTTTGTCAACTCCTCGGCGGCGCTCGTCGATTGGAACGACCTCTTAATCGATCGCTACGATGTTCGTCACCTCCTCTCTTCTCTTCCGCCGCGTCCCAAACGCCGCCGCACGAACTCCGACGACCCTGACCTGGAATCGGAGCTCGAGCACGAGCGTTACCTTGATTTACCCGCGGGATCTCAATCACCGTCACAGGATCAAAACGGTAAGGACATAGTGATTTTGGTTTTGTATTTATTTTGGATAAGAAAAATTTGGCAAGGGAACGGTAGGACCTTGTGTTATCGCAGAGGCTTGAACTAGCGATATTAGAGATGATTTCTGATCGTTTATTGACTTCCATCTCGGAACGGTAGGACCTTGTGTTATCGAGTGTGTTCATCTTTGCGCGTGGCAAAGCTAAAACTAAGACGGATGAATATAACACTAAATTCCACATTTCCTTCGGTGTAAGAGCTATAAAGATGATTTCAAACTATGATATGGTGTTCAGAAATCATTAACTGCTCGGTGGACTCCTGATCATTTTCTTATGGACAGTATAAAAGATAGAAGAGAGATGAAATGTTCTCTTTTTTTCCTCTCTTCGTGGCAAATGCGATGGAATAGTCAGTCGCCTTTTACCAGGTCTGTGCTTCGGGAATTAGATTAGGTACTTGGGGTTGAAAATGAGTGCTGCAGGTGGTGTTTCATTAGACCTGGAGTGTAGTCATTTATAGTTAAAAGGTACTTGAACATCAGCCCCTGTTTAATCATTTCCCTACTCCATGTGACAGTTGGTGAATGCTTTTTTTTTTTTTTAAATTTCTTGATCAGGATTGATATAGCATCTAGTTTTTGAGGTAGGAATGTAACCGTGTGGTTGTTCCTCATAACCCCACAGTGGACAAGGCTAATTGCATGCAGATCTAAGTTATAAAATTGATGTTTGTTATCTCATCCTATTTTCGCAACTTATCTTAGACCCCTTACTAGGCTACTTAAAGGCAATACATCATGGAACTAAATAAAATATGGTTTACAGAGTCTACTCCTTTGTTGAATCCTCACCTGAGCACTGGTTTTGCTTCTGTTTCAGTTTTCTTTTCTTTCTTTTTTCTCATTACTTTCAAGTTTGTGGGAGATAATTTTTTTTCTTTTTCTTTTTGTACCAGTTTCATATGTCGTTAAGGCTTCGTAATCCTTTTCTATCTCCTTTCTCCATTTTATTGCGTCTAAGCTAACTCTCTTTTTCTGATGTTACTGATTATGGAATGATATCTAGAAAATTTATTTTATTGTTTACTTTTTTGTATACCAGATTTGAATGATGTTTCAGAACCTACAAATGCTGGTAGTTTCAATGCTGTCCCTTTCTCATATGGAACCACCAGTGAATCCAATGACCAGAAGAACGCTGATACAGAATCTGTGTTTCATCCGCCTTTCCCTGTACCTGAATCTTTACTATTTAACCTGGTAAGTTACTGTTCTGTTATCTTGTTACTTTTAGAAGAATGACGGTTTTGCTCACTTACTTGATGCGTGCACTGATGTGGCCATGTAAACATCTGGAAGGTGCATTTGTCATTCTAAGGGTTACCATGTCTAAGTTTCAGATGCTTGGAGCAGAGATGGAGTTGACCAAGGTTGCCATTCACAGGCACCTTGTTTCCTTTTGCTGCCATGACAAGGGGCGGTACAGGTGGGATTAGGATGATCGAAATTCGTGACTTACCAAGAACCTGATAAACTGAGAGCAAATTGGATGATATGTCTATGTTTAGTTCTGCAATTTATTTATGGTTATCCTTACCTTTGTGAGAGAGATTTTGATATACTCTTTTTCGTGTGCCTACAATAATATTTGTTTACAAGACCATCAAGGATTACGAGTTTTCACATTGCTAAGGGTTTGTACTTCTTTTCTCCTTTTTTTCAGCCTCTGACGGAGAAGTTACATCAGATAATCACTAGAACTGCGATGTTCGTAGGCAAACATGGTGGTCAATCTGAAATTGTTTTGAGAGTCAAACAAGGAGGCAACCCGACATTTGGGTTCTTGATGCCAGATCATCGCCTTCATCCCTACTTTAGGTATCTTGTTGAACATCAAGAGCTTTTAATGGGGAAGTCCTTTGAAGAAGACAAGAAAAATGAAGGTGGGCAGGTTAGTGGAGCCTTGTCATTACTTGGTTCCATTTATGGAACTGGTGAAGATGAAGATATTAAAGACGAGTCCGCCATGGACTCTAAAATAAATGAATCTGATGAAGGGGACAAGGATGTAAAGGCAGCTGTTTCTATTGGAACCGAAGGTTTGGAGGGAAAAACAAAGTTGGCAGCAGAAGGATATGCTGTCTCTAAGCATCATCTTCTGGTGAAGGATAAGGTATCCATAATAAAAGGAAACCCGTCCGTCAGTACAGTAAATATTGGAGACACAAATAAGACGAAAAAGGAAGATGATAGCCCAGAAAAGATTCCCACTTCTGCTGATAAATTGCAATCTTCTGTGGCGCAAACACAACCCAAGTTTGAACTACCAATTGTGGAGCCTCCAGCTGATATGAAAAGAGTGATTGATAAGATAGTAGAGTTCATCCTGAGGAATGGGAGAGAATTTGAGGCAATTCTTGCTGCACAGGATGTTAAATATGGGAGGTTCCCGTTCTTACTTCCAGCTAGCTTATATCATGCTTATTATCGTAAGGTTCTTCGAGAAGCTGAAGAGGTAATCCTATTACGAGCTTTTCATTTCTTTTTGCAGGTTTGATACTTCATAAGAACTTAGGACTGAAATAGATAAAATTATGAACACTGATAATTTCAAATAGATTTTGAAGTTTTTGTTGTAACTTTCAATATGGTCTTGACAATATTGCTGATGATGGTCGCTCTTTTTTTTCCCTGACTGCCTGTGTTAGAATGTGGCCGTAGATATTAAAGATGATTGAGAAACAGTGCACATAAAATTTGATTTGATTGTAAAGGTAATTCAATGGGTTTAAATTCTAGTTTTGGGCCCTTTTCATGTACTGAACCCTGTGATTTTCACCTGATGCTTATCATAACAATCTTGCTTCTTCTATTCTGCAGTCAAAATCATCTGGTGAAGGCAAAATCTCTGAAAAGCGGGACAAGAATCAAGACAAGAGGGCTGATATTGCAAAAGAAGAGGACAAACCAGCTGATGGGAGTGATTTACCCAATGATTTTGCAAAGAAAGAGAAATTTAAGATGGTTATAGGGAAGTCGAAGAAGGATGAACCCCCTAAGCCTGTCCAACCACAGATAGGCGTCACTATTGATGCAGATGCTGCTGCTGCGATTATTCAAGCTGCGAGAAGGGGCATCAAGAATCCCAATTTAGGGATTCTATCTAGCAATTCTTTGAACGAGACTTCTTCTCAAGGCCTTGGAAGCGACAGCAGCCAGCCCTCTAGTATGACCAAAAACATAGGTCAGATGAGTGGGCAGTCCTTTTGTGGTCCTGGCGCCAAATCTATTGCCAAAACAGCAGCCCTAGCAGCTGCTAATGAAGCTGATTCTTCTGAAGCAGGCTTGTCCAAGGAGCAGAAGCTGAAGGCAGAAAGATTAAAACGTGCAAAGATGTTCATGGCCATGTTGAAGAGCGGAGCCGAGCCGTCGAAAGCTGAACCAGCACGATGCTTATCCATAGAACCTCCAGACTCTGGTTTGTCTGGATCAGGTGCTAATGCCGTGGAATCTGCTGTTAGAGAAAGAGAAGGCAGCTCGGTTCCGTTTGAAGCTGAAAAGAAATGTCCTGACAATGATAACAATGAAAGAAGATCAAAGAGAAATTATCGTTCAAGGTCTCAGAGGGATGAGGATGATGAGAAAGACGAAGAAGATAAGAGTAGGGGGGAAGACACAGAAGAAATTCGGAATAATGAGAAGGATTCTAGTGGAAAGCGGCATTCAGACCACAGCCGAGATGGGCATAAGCATAAGAGACGACGTTCATCAAAGGACACACGCTCTCGGGATAAGCACAGACACGATACCTCAGATGATGAGCATCATAAGCGGTCCCGTCATAGACACAAGCACGGTAAGTCTTCTCGGAAGCATGAATTAGACGATTCTTCTGACAATGAGCATGGACAGAGACACAAATCAAGTAAGCATACGCATGCTGATTCATCTGACGACGAGCGTGAGCATCATCGGCGACACAGATCCAGCAGGCATAATAATAAGCATGGAGATTCTTCAGACGATGAGCATCGTCGCCAACGCAGATCCAGTAAGCATAATAAGCACAAGGATTCTTCCGACGACGAGCATCGGCACAAATCTAGTAGATGTAGAAAGAAAGAGAAGATAGCGGTGGATGAGGAGATTGTTTCAAAGTCGAAAGTGACGGATAACCGTGAAGACAGTTGCGAGTCGGGAAAACCAAACCACGAGCATAAAGGCCCTTTGTCAGGACAAAACGAAGCAACACAAGTGTCAGAGGAGCTGAGGGCCAAAATCCGTGCCATGTTGACTGGTACCTTGTAAGTTCCCTTTGGCATATTCTTTTCCCCAGGTTATGTAATAGAGTCAATAATTTGTTTATCCCAATTTTATCAGAATCTGGATTGATACGAGTTAGTAACGGTGTTGAGAAGATGCTGAAATGGCGAATTCCTTTTTCTTTTTCTTTTTTTGATTGAATAAAGATTTTCAGGTGAAAAGTGAGGAGAAAAATGGAGATTGTGTTCAGGAGAGTGAGAGGGCAAGCATAAAATAAAAGGTCACAGGAGGGGTGGCGCTTTGCGGAAAGGAAAGGCAGTGGAAATGGAATAAGGGGAGGGAGGCGGATGCTTGGAAGTGCGGGTGAAGTTTAAGTAAACGACCCCACCAACAACATCACTTGTTGAGACCGAAAGTGACGCCGTGGCACTTTTGGTGACGTAGGAATTATTTACCAACGGAACAAGGTACCCACTCTGTTTTTATATATTAAAAGAGAGAAAAAGGAAGAAGAAGAATGGGGGATGATGGGTGGAGGTTAGATTTGATTGGATTGGATTGGCATTTACTTGAAGCATAGCATACCCCCCTTAGTATCTGTGCGGACGTAGCTCTTCCGCCTTCTGACTCCTCCACCCTTAAAGGCTATATGACTTTCTTTTCTTTTCTTTTCTTTTTGGTTGCTTGGGTCTGTGATCCTTTCTCACACTTTTCAGCCTTCCTTTTTAGAAGTTGTTGTATCATTGGCGATTGCTTAGATGTTTTCTCCTTTTCTTCTTCTCTCTTTTGCCATTCCTTACTCTCCACGCTCAAGTTTTGGCTTATTTAGGATTCTTCAAGGGATGCTATTTGCTTGGGATAACTTCTGATCATCTTTTTCTTTTTAATTTCTGTCGGGATGAAATTTTTAAAATTTACAGTTTTTTTTTAAAAATTAAAAAAATGGGAATTGGAATCTTATCTTATTACGGCTTCTAACTTTTGAATGAGTTGAATGTAGATGTACATCTTAAATTGTGTAGTCACTCAATAATTAATTGATCAAATTAGCTTAACAACTATAATGGACTTTTAGATTTTGTTTGTGATGTCTCGATCACAGAAAAGGTTTACGCAATCAACCAGATACATGATTAGAATTTTCGTTCTTTCAGAATATTGTATTTTTCCATTTTCATTATAGCATAAGATCAATATGTGGGTTTCGGTAACCTTCCCCTTTTTTTTAAACCCGGAGGACCCAGTGGAAGGCCGTACATTTTAAACCCAACCACGGGGCAGGTGGGGTTTAGTAAACTGAAAAGTCACCCTTTTGAATGCAATACGAATTCAACTCACCGGAGACAATTCCCCGATGATCTTATCGTAAAACCCAAAGTCAGATTCAGATTCACCCTCGTGTCAAGACTTGACCACACGCCCAAAAAAAAAAACACAATGACGTTACGTAAGTGAAATACACGGAGTCGAGTTATGATGCAAAGTGCATGAATCCGCGTCCCCCCTCCGGCCACAAACTCAATTATTAAATTCCATATCCCCCTCTTTATTTAATTCGGTCCATAACCAAAACGACCCAATCCAACTGTATTCTCTAACCAAACATCATATAACATCCATTCTCTTTCTCAGTTCTTTACCGAATTTTAACTCAAAATATTGCATTTACACTATTAAAATCCATATCCCTCTTTTATATCAACTCTGTTTATATATCAATTTTCTATCTCACAAAATCTATCTATTTTTGTTTCCTTTTCTCACTATTCTTTTTTTTAATCTAAAAAAAATCTGTTCACACAAGCAGCTTGGGTCGCAATTAAAGAGGCATCAGAAAAAGGCATATTCCCATTTAAAACCACAGGCTTTACGGCCGCATTAACTTAATCCCTTTTAACGGTGGGTTAATCCCACGCTAACCTCCCCTCTGATCCCTCGTTCAGCACGTGCCTCTTGCCACGTGGCAATTCATCGGCTGTCGGCGGATCGAGCAACGGTGCCGTCCACCCTGGCATCCGCCGTCACAGCTGTTCTCATGCCACGTGGCTCGCGTAAAATCAGATAAATAAAATGTGGTGGAATTTTGTATGCTAAATAAAAAAATTATAGATTTTGATATTATTCGTTCATGTTGCATTATTAGTCTTCCACAATAATACTTACATAATTACTCTATTAAAAATTTATGTCTCTTATTTAGGTAAAATTCATTTTTTTAGATTTTCTTTTTATAGAATAACGTTTTGAATTTGAACTCAACGGCTGCGTTTTAAATAATAAAACATTAGTAATTAGAATAAAGTGAAGGATAAGGTAAAGTCCTCTGGCGCTTAATAATTGGAGAAGAGAAGAAAGTGTAAAGAATGTCGTCTCAGTTCAGACTTTGAATTAGGACACCAAAACCCCATTCCAAAGGTCAGATACATACACATATATGCATATATATGGGTATATGTGTACGTAAATACGCATACATATATAAAACGCTTAGGTCATTACAAGTCTTCACTTGAAACAATTCAAAAAAACTCTGAGATCTTACAACTCTTTGATTCCCCCTCTCCGATTCGTATAAACTCCTCCTCTGTTTCTGCTGCATCAATGGAGGAATGGACTAGAGGCCCAACCATCGGCCGCGGCTCCACCGCCGCCGTTTCTCTCGCCGTCTCGAGCTCCGGCAGACTCTTCGCCGTCCAATCCGTCGAGCTCTCTTCCTCGGCGATCTTACAGAGAGAACAATCCCTCTTGTCCGAATTGAGCTCTCCCCACATAGTCGAGTTCATAGGCTCTGTCTCAACGCGCGAGAACGACAGATTGCTCTACAATATTGTTATGGAATACCTCTCTGGAGGAACTCTTCAAGATCTGATCAAGAAACATGGTGGGAAGTTGTCGGAGCCGGCGATCAGATCCTACACGCGTCAGATTCTGAAGGGCTTGAGCTATCTTCACGGGAAAGGGATCGTTCACTGCGACGTGAAGAGTCAGAATGTGTTGATAGGCGAAAACGCTGCCGTGGCGAAGATTGCCGATCTGGGTTGCGCGAATACGGTGGAGCACGGCGGTGCCACATCGGATTTCTCCGGTACGCCGGCGTTTATGGCGCCGGAGGTGGCTCGTGGTGAAGAGCAGGGGTTTGCGGCTGATGTGTGGGCGTTGGGTTGCACAGTGATCGAGATGGCGACCGGTTCGAGCCCCTGGCCGGAGCTGGACGACGTTGTGGCTGCAATGTACAAGATCGGGTTTTCCGGAGAGTCGCCGGAGATTCCGGGAGGGTTGTCGGAGAAAGCTAAGGACTTTTTGAGGAATTGTCTGAGGAGAGAATCGAAAGAGAGATGGACGGTTCAAGAATTGCTGCAACACCCGTTTCTCGATGAACAAGACGAATCTCGTAACACGATGAGTTCTTCCTCTCCTAGCACTGTGTTGGACCAAGATTTCTGGGATTCGTACGAAACATCCAAAAGTCAATTGGTTCAGACAGAAAACGAGGACCCTTTTGCAGATCATACGAGTTCTTGGGGTTCCCCCGCTGACCAGATCAAGAAACTCGCCGGAGATGGATTTTCCGGCGTGCCTGACTGGGATTCCGATGAAGACGACTGGATTCAAGTGAGAAACGAAGAAATCGGAGAAACCCAGAAACGTAACGACGAGGAGAACGAGATTGGAGACGAGGAAACGCCATGGGAGACAGTGGAAGAAGCTGAGAGTTGGATTTCAGATCAAGACAGTGTGTTCTTTGATCATTTTTCTGACAATAACAACATGAGTTACCGCTCCACTGTCGCAATAGATGTAATTATATCTGATTGCGATAACGTCGGCCATGTTTTTGTATCACCAAACATAGATTTCCGGAGAAATAATAAAAAAAAAATATTTGTTTCCCAATTCCATCCTTTACTCCATATTAGCATATCCCAATTTGTTTGAACTGTTAAATCGGTTTGGACTAATAACCGATTGAATAATTTAAAAAAAGGTTAAGAGAGAGTTCAGATAACTTATAGAATATATAGAAATGAATTTACAAAATGTATATAGTTTAACTCATTAAAAATGTGGGTGTAAAGTGGAGTTATGTTGAATTATTATTATTATTAAAAATTGGCTATCTAATTCAAGGAACTTATAGAGATTATGTGATTATGTCACGGTGAAGAGAACTTAAACAAGCAGCCTAAATAATTTGACAGTTGGAAATTTGGAATGGTCGTATTATTTAATTAATTAATTAATTATTATTATTATTTTATTTTTTATTTTTTATTTTTTATTTCGAAGTGTGGACGCATGAGACTTTTTTCGAGGTTCATTTATTAGACCCAAAGTCGGCGTTTACTTTGTCAGATTCGGCAGTGCACCAATTTCATTCACATCACGTCACAGCTTCCTATGATCTCATACGCTCTCGTTTGTGTATTTATTATCAAGTAATTTTCATCTATCAATTAAAAATGTTTCATATATATTTTTAAAAAGTCCAAATCAATACGTGTATATATAGCAATATGAACATTGAACATTATAATATTATGTAATTTTTTTTATTTGAAATACTGACCGTAGTTTAAGGTATATACGTGTGTCAAACAACGTATAATATTAACAATATTTTTTTTTATAACGAATGAAATCTTACGTGGTTGAAATTTATACAATAGAAAAACAGCGAGTACTTTTAGATTTAAATTAAAGTCTACCGACTTTGGTATTTGATTATTGACATTACTTTAGGGGTCATAAGACAAATCAAAACAAGATATTCATTCACAAGTTCAATAGAACCGCCATTGCACCAAAACACTAATTCAATTTAAATGGTGGGTTTTCTAATAAGTTTCTATACCTATATTTATTATAAAGTGTAACGGTAGGAATTTCGTTTTTTTTTTTTAAATAAAAAAGTCTTCATTTTCAAGTAATTTTTCTTTGTATTTGTTTGGCCTTTTTCATTCTATTACCTAACCCTAATGATATATATCTCAACGCCGTACTATTGGGTACCCTTTCTAGAAATTGGATGAAGATTCCAACCTTTTGTTTAGGTAATTATCCAAAGAGAAGGAGAGAGAGAAATACCATAAGCTCAATAATACTGATTTATAAAAGTGGTAAATACCAATAAAATTTTAAAATTTATAAAATGGTAAAAAAACTAATTTCTAAATTTTTATGTGATAAATTTATTTCTAAACTTACAAAATATGTTTATTAACTGATACAAAAAGACGACGTTGATCCATAAATCCGTTTGGAAATTATAATAACATATTTAGCAAATTTGAGAATAAATTTATTTTACAAATTCAAAAATTTTAATGCATGAATTTACCCTAAATTTTATAATAAAAAAAAAATATTATTTTTTCATTTTTAACATATTATCTGAATTTTTTCGATCATATTCTAATTTTAAAAAAATGATACGGGGTATTAAACCGATTTCGATCTGAGCCAACCGATTCAAGTTTAGATAGATAGAATTGAGATATCCACCGTGATGGTGGTGATGACTCCATGTTGATGTCAAGAGCGCATAATGTAAGAGAGCCAAACAAACAACTCAATTTATTTTGACCCATTGAAAAAAAAAATCTTTTAATTGGTTCAATGCCCAACTTGACATTCTAAACACAAACAGTTGGGGGGGGTTGACTTTGAGAAAGTGGAAGTCTTTGTTGGATCTCCTCTAATTATAATTTATAATTTATAATTTATAATTATAAAAAACTTCATTCACCCTTTTCCTTTTGGACCATCTCTCATGCCTTCCCACTAGTTCTTCGTAGTAGGTGTCTCACACCCACCTTATCCATATTCCAATCTATTTTTTAATCACCAAATTAATAAAAATAATTAGTATTGTACCAAAAAAAAAAAAAATACTTAATGGGTCTGTTTATGCAATAGTTTAATGCCATGCTTTTCATACATAGTTTAAGTATATCTAGTTAGTTCCTAATGATAGCGATATGTTTGGTAGTTTTTTGCTCAAACCTACAATGACTTTTCAGACACCTCATCGTCATTTCACCCATTTTTTTTTTAATCAAGGTCGACCCATGGGGTTTGAACTTGGGTGGGAAGCAGCATTTTGTGCTGTTCATCCATTGTTTAATAATGTTTACAATGTAATTAATCCGATGATATTCGAAACTATTTACATATGTCATTTAGTTAAACATGGATCCATGATCATTTTTCATCTAAACAACCATAAGACTTTTTTTTATTTATAAAAATTTTTCTCTTACTTCCTCTCTATGAGTTTGCATTCCCAAAAGAGAGGCATATATCTCTCTCTGGTTGGTTGTATATCCGGAAATTTTAAAATATTGGAATTTGAAATTAAATATTTTGAAAAGTTTTACCCAAATTTAAACTTTAAAAATTCAGATATCTGCAGAATATTCGAATATATGTGGTATCCAAATACGAATAAATTCTACGAAATGATAATTTTGCCAAAAAAAAAAAAAGTAAATAAGTCTTAGTTAGGGTTGGTGGCAAATTCGTAAATAAATCTAAAAAATCTGAATCCTTAATTTCTATTTTTTTTATTTTTATCATTTAATGATTTAGATATCTAAAAAAAAAACTTGCCCACACGCATCTTGCTCTTAGGTGAGATGTACATGTTCTTTTTCAAGCCATATCTTTCGATTATCCGAGAGAGCCGGAGACTCTGGGGGGGCCAGAAGTTTATTGGGCTTTAATTGGTCCGGGCCCATTTTCACTGACAACCCATCATTAACAGATCTCCAACCCTCTTTTTCTGTCAGAGAGTCTACGTAAACGACGCCGTTTCGTTGCACTCACAAAAGTGTCCCTCCCTTTTGTCCGTTGACAGAAATCGAAGCTGTTCTTCGCAGCGAGTTTCTGTCATGGATGCTATGGCGGCGCCAGTTTCTTCCCCTATCTTTCCGACACAGAACCTGCCGTCTTCGTTTCCCGCTACTTCCCCGTCGTCTCTGATCTTTCGAAGGAAGAATCTTGGAAGGAATAATCTCAAATTCAAATCTTTGAGAAGCCTCTCTGTTCGCGCTTCCTCTACTCCCGATTCTGGTAATTCCCCTATCAGTTCTTCGGATTTTTTATTCACGGTTTCTCAATTTTGTATTGTTTTTCTGAAAATGTTCCCGGTGAGCAGTTGTGACTCTGCTTGACTATGGAGCTGGGAATGTCCGAAGCGTCCGTAACGCCCTTCGCCATCTCGGTTTCAGCATCAAAGACGTAGGCCTCGAATCCAAGTTTCTCTCATTTTCCGTTTCGATTCTTACGAAATGTGGAGGTTTTATCGGATTTGCGTTTGATGATTTTGGTATCTTTGGGAAACTTTGAATGTTAGGTTCAAACGCCGGAAGACATTCTGAATGCCGATCGCCTTATATTTCCCGGTGTTGGGGCGTTTGCACCTGCCATGGATGTGCTTAACAAGACCGGGTATGCAAGCCGTTTGATTGTGTTAAACCTGTACATATATACTTTTCATGCCGTGATTCTGGTTAGGGATTTGTATCTTTTCCCCTTTGTTTTAGCAGTGATTGATCAACTTGAGTAGTTTTCTTGCTACCTTTGAACGTATAATGTTGATTCAAGTAAAGAGAAACTCTTTGAAACCGCTGGCTATGCCACCGTTAATCAATCGATTATTCAAAGTAAGAACTATCAGATGTTGATGCGGGTTAGTCTTTTGCCCGAGGCATTTGTCAATGTCGATCTATGGTTAAAAAGCTGAGGTTGGTAGGGTTAAGGTCTTAAAAAATGATTGTTGGTTCCTCGAAAACTCCTGTTAATGGAATTCTGTGTAATGGTCCAATGTCGTCCATCTTGGCAGGATGGCGGAAGCCTTGTGCAAATATATCGACGATGACCGTCCATTTTTAGGAATATGTCTTGGGCTACAACTACTTTTTGAGTCTAGTGAGGAGAATGGACCAGGTTAGTATGATTCCCCCCTTCATTTCATGTGTTCTGTGGCCTTTCCTTCGATCCTATCAATATGTACAATTTTCTATTTATAATTTACTGTCTTTTTCCATATTAACATTATGTGCTGTTTCGTTATCTCAGTTAAAGGTCTTGGCTTGATACCGGGAATAGTTGGACGTTTTGATTCTTCGAAAGGTATCACAGTTCCCCACATTGGCTGGAATGCTTTGCAACTGGGGAAGGATTCAGACATTTTGGATGAAGTTGGAAATCGTCACGTATATTTTGTCCACTCGTATCGGGCCATCCCGGTATGCTTATAGAGAGCATCTTTTCTTGTGCCATTTTTGCATCCAAGCTACAGTTTTTCTGTTTCTGCATGCAGCTTATGATTGGATTTTGTGAATGTGATAGTCAAATGACAACAAGGAATGGATTTCATCTACCTGCAATTATGGTGAAACCTTTATATCCTCCATCAGAAGGGGAAATGTCCATGCAGTGCAGTTCCATCCAGAAAAAAGTGGAGGTAGGACATTTTCTTCTTATCGCTCCATCTTTAACATCTACATTAGTTATCCCAAATTTATATTCACATTTCACATTACAACTATTGATTTGGAATCTGGAACTTTTCAGAGGTTGGCCTCTCTGTTTTGAGAAGGTTCTTGCATCCAAAATCATCTGTGGCAAAGGTAGCTTTCTTTCCAACCACACATGTACTGTTTGAGTTTCCTGATTACAATTACCTCTAATAACATTCATATTCTCCTGAAGACAGAAGCCAAAGGAAGGGAAGGCTTCAAAACTTGCAAAGAGGGTAATAAATTTGTGCCAACATCATCACAAGTGTTTTCCCCTGTCACTGTTACATTTAGATAAATGATGCAGAGTTTTGCTTATGATTACTGCTTTTTCCTCAGGTGATTGCTTGTCTTGATGTGAGGACAAATGATAAAGGAGATCTTGTTGTAACCAAAGGGGACCAATATGATGTGAGAGAACAATCCGATGAAAATGAGGTCTGTTGAAATATTTGGATTACTTTCAAGTTTTGGGTGTGTTTGTGTTCTGAATGCAACTGTTGATACGAACCCTCGCCTATGACACTTGTTAACCAAACTTCTGCAGGTTAGAAACCTTGGCAAACCAGTGGACTTGGCTGGGCAGTATTACAAAGATGGGGCCGATGAGGTATGCTTTGACAGTGTCTTTTCCCTTTATGATATCCTGCTAATAGTTGCAATTCTCTCTTGTTAAGATTTGTTTTTCACTTCTTTCCAATTTTTTCGGGTTTTCAGATTAGCTTCTTAAACATAACTGGGTTCCGCGATTTCCCTCTAGGGGATATGCCAATGCTGCAGGTATGTGGTTTTGCAATTCTACGGTTCATCAGGTGCTTATGGATTGTTTCTTTCCTTATGTATTAGTTCCTTTTCACATCACTCTGTATGCTTTATAGGTGTTGAGGTACACGTCAGAGAACGTTTTTGTGCCACTAACGGTTGGAGGTGGTATTAGAGACTTTACAGATGCTAACGGAAGGTACCTTATGGAGACTTTTCTTTCCAGATTGTTTGTATAGATTTGTTTATATAGACTGCCTGGCTCCAATGCATATGGAAGCTCTGTGATTCTGTATCACCACATGATAAATAAACCTAAGTTTCTTTGCAGGTATTATTCAAGTTTGGAAGTTGCTGCCGAATATTTCAGGTCTGGTGCTGATAAGATCTCCATTGGAAGTGATGCTGTCTATGCTGCAGAAGAATATCTGAAATCGAGGGTAGGCTTTTATTCACCCGTTTTCCCCTTTTTTGTTCCATCAAGTCAAGGCAGTGTAATGTTACAGGCCAATGTTCATGTTAATCTTTTTTCCTCTTTTTTCTTGTAGGTAAAAACAGGAAAGAGTAGTCTAGAGCAGATATCTAGAGTTTATGGAAACCAGGTAATTTATTGTTTCTATTCCAAAAACATAGACCTTCTCTTGACGTAAGCACCATTGTAGCTTGCTTTGGACAATGGTCATACTTCATAGTAACAGTGTCACAGATGTAATAAACAGCAGATGTTTAGATTCTTGTTTGTGATGTAGTCTGTCTGATCACCACTTGGACTTATATCATCTAACAATAATTTTTATATGTGAACAGAAAATCGACTTTTCGTGTAACTGCTCTAGTTTTGTACTTGACAGGCTGTGGTTGTAAGTATTGATCCACGTAGAGTTTACGTCAGCAATCCTGATGATGTGCCATACAAGGTCACACGAGTAGCTAACCTAGGTATATCAGTCTTCTCTTTCATTGCTTTATGTTTTTATTCTCTAAAACTAAATACTGTTGGCCAGTAAGACAATCAGATGTGAGCTTGATTATGCCCGGAAATCCATGAAAAAGTATCCTTTTTTGTATTAGATGTAGAATTCATTCACCACAAAAGGGATATATCCCATAAATCTGTGACACCATTACTGACCTTGTTGCTTTTTCTGGTTTTAGGCCCAAATGGAGAAGAATATGCCTGGTACCAGTGCACGGTAAACTCTAGCCGACCCTTTAAAAGCATTATGTTAATGCTGAATTGGCTCCTTTACAGGATTCTGGTTTTCTTCATCTGAATGAGTGAGGTCTATTGGATTTGAAAAGGTCAAGGGAGGACGAGAAGGTCGGCCTATCGGAGCTTATGAGCTTGCAAAAGCAGTTGAAGAATTGGGTGCTGGTGAAATACTACTAAACTGCATAGACTGTGATGGTATATATATGTACACTTCACTCCACTGTCTTAAAAAATCCTCTCCTTTTATGTATTTCCCTGTCTCATTCTAAGAAATTATAACAGTATAATCACCTTTATCTCGACGGGTATTTCAGGGCAGGGAAAAGGATTTGACGTAGACTTAGTAAAGCTTATATCGGATTCAGTAAGCATCCCGGTTATTGCAAGCAGTGGAGCGGGCGTTGTGGAACACTTCTCTGAGGTATTCGACGAGACAAATGCATCTGCTGCCCTTGCTGCTGGCATTTTCCACCGGAAAGAGGTGAAAAAACAAAAAAAAGCTTTCTCCCTTTTCAACCATCTCATCTTTAAGAGCTGAAACCAGTTTCATTCTCTGGAGATATCATTGTCTCGATAGATTTCCTTATACCGATTTTTTTTTAGGTACCGATCCGGTCGGTGAAAGAGCACTTGCAGAAGGAGGGCATAGAGGTTCGGATCTGAGAGTCCTCCATCCGGACAAGCTTAATCTGCTTGTCTCCCTCCTGTTGTATTCTTCTGAAACCATGATTGAAGATTCTCCATTCTTTTTTCTTTCACAGGCAATTTCTTATGTTGAATTATAAGATATTTCATTATCAAGGATGCGAGGGAAATTACTAATTGTTCATGTGCGTTTACATTCTGAGCAGATAACGTAAGTTTCAAATGTATCTTTACTGAGTGGATCAGTATCCTATCAACACAAAGTAGTAATTGCAGACAAAACAGGAGATGCAATACGAGAATGTTTAGACATTAGGTGTTCATCATTGCAAGTCTTTGTGCTTCTTCAACGCGACCAAACCGATTGAGAAGTTCAACAACAACCGAGTATTGTTCCTTTGATGGCTGTAAACCATACTTTTGGAGCATCAAACTGAGGAAGCGAAGAGCTTCATCCACGAACCCAGCTTGGCAGCAAATAGATAAAACTGTTGTGAATGTGAATGCATTTGGAGTGAAGCCTTCAGACATCATCTTCTGGAAAAGGTTTATCCCATCCCTGAACTGTCCATTCCATCCATATGCCTCAACAATGGCGGTCCATGTCATGGAACCCTTCACAGGGACCGCACCGAAAGCAAAGCTTGCGCTTTTTAAATCTCCACACAGTCCATACAACTTGATGATTCTGGCAGAAACAAATGGGATGGATTCAAAATCCTTTTTCAGGATCTGTCCATGAATCTCCTTCCCCAGCTTTAGAACTTTGAGTTCACTGCATACAGTCAAAACCCTAGCCATTGCAACAGAATCCGGCCTATGTTTTGAAAGCTGCATCGATCTGAACACCTCAAGCCCTGCACTTAAATGACCGTTTTCCACATAGGAATCGATCATTGCAGTCCAAACCTTTACATTCCTCTGTTCCAGCCCGTTAAACAGTCTAACCGGATAATCTAGAACACCGCATTTTGAGTACATCACCATCAGGGAAGTCACTACAGATACATTTGGCAAGAACAGCTTCTTTAAAGCGTAAGCGTGGATCTCCTTTCCCTGTTTCAGAGCCTTCAGCTCTGCACAAACTGGAAGAACGGTAGCAATGGTGACGACGTCTGGCCTGAAGCCTTCTTGTTGCATCCAGACAACTGACCTCAAAGCTTGATCAAGTCTTCCATTTGATGCGTACCCAGACATCAAAGCTGTCCAAGAAATGGCATTTCTCTGTTTGGATCCGTAGAAAACCCGTCTTGCAGACACCATATCCCCGCACTTGCAGTAGAAATCAATAAGACCCGCATGAATAAACGGCTGTTCCATGTAACTTCTAAATTTCAATGCGTGAGCATGCACCTCCTTCCCCAGTTTCTGTGCCTCAATATTCCCCAGTACCGGAAGAATCATCGTGATTACAGCTGAATTTGGATAAATTCCCTCTTCCCTTACCATCCTCCTGAAAAACTCCAAAGCTTCCCGTTGCCTTTTGTTGTGAGAAAACCCAGCAATCATTGCTCCCCACACCACTATATCTCTCTCTTTAACTTCATCAAAGACCTTACGAGCGAGCCTCACTTTGCCGCATTTGAAGTACAGATCAATGAGACAAGTCTTAAGGAAGGAACTTTCAAGTAACCCGTTCTTGATGACAAGAGCATGCGTCTTTAGTCCCTGTCTCAACGCAGATGCACCAGCGAAACTCTTGAACACGTTAGAGAAAGTGTAAACGTTCAAATCAATCCCAAGTTCTCTCATTTCGGTAAATGTAGATAGCACATCGTTATACCGCCTCTTCCCCGATATCACAGTTCCCCTGAGCAGAGCGTTCCAGGAATAGACACTCGAGCTAGTACTTTCGACGAACACCTTCTGGGCGTCCTCCAAGGACCCACAGGCAGTGTACATGTGAACGAGTTTTGTCCGAAGGAAGTCATTTCTCTCGAGCCCATTGATGCGGATATGAACGTGGACTTGCTTTCCGTGTGGAAGCGACTTGCGGCGGACGCAAGCGGCGATAAGGGCGGAGAAGGTGGTGGCATTGACTGGGATTCCCCTGTGATCCAAGTAGTCGAGGATCGTGAGCGCGTCTTCGAGCTTGTTCTGTCTGGCGAATCTCTGGATGTCTCTGTAGATTCTGTGTGGGTTCTTGGAGTGGAGCGGGAGAGAGGAAGGGAATGCGTCTCTCTCTCTGAAAGGTTTAGGCTTTTTGGCGGGGAACCTGGAAGGACCTCTGGTAGGTCTCTCCGGAGGAGGAAGACGACTACGAATATGAGCGCCGTGGGTGAGACTCGTCGACGCCGGAAGCGGCCGGAGATCGTGGCATCCCAGAGGCGACACAACTTCCATAGCGGCACCTCAACTGTCGTAGTAGATTTTTTGGCCGAGATTGTTTTCTAAGATTGTTTAAATTTATTTAAAAGAGGGAAGAGGTATCACACGCGCCTGAGTCTTAGCAATTTGGCGAATGGCGGAAAATCGAGCGATCTGGTGGGTTATAGCCCAGGGATTTTAGGGCGGTGGATTTCACGCGCTATAGCTGCGTGTGTGATATCCTCCGTAAAGTAATAATCGGATTTTATTTTATTGGATTGAGCTCCCAGAAACCAAGCCCAAAATGGCTGCATTGTATTTTTTAAAAACCGTATAATTTTGTAAAACAAAGGCCACATAATTTTTTCAAGCTTAAAACTCCTAAAAAAAACTTCGAACTTCCAAAAAAAAATATACAAATAAACCTTCAATTTACAAAGTTATCATTCAAACCCCAAACTTACAACATGTATCTGATAAAATCTCAAATTTGCAAATTGTTGCTCTAACAATTCGTTGACTTGTTTGACTACAATTTTAGGCGATCGAAAATCCATGTTGATCCGAAAAGTTGATGTCAGCATATATACGTACCAATTTTAACTGAATAAATCTTCAATCTGATTATATTCTGTCCCGAAAAACCGGTTTTATTTACTCTCAAATCGGTTTAAATTTCGATAAAAAAGTGTTGATGTGACAAAAATTCATTTAAAATTTCTTAAGTGGACACGCTGACATCAATTTTTTTCGGACCAACGTAAATTTTCGATCGTCTGAAATTGTGGTCAAACAAGTCAATGGATTATCAGAGCAACAATTTGTAAGTTCGAGATTTTATCCAATTACATGTTACTAATTTAGAATTTGGATGACAATTTTGCTGCAAGTTTGAGATTTGAATGAGGGTTTTATACGTTGAAGGTTTATTTATATATTTTTTTACAAATTCGAGATTTTTTTAGAGGTTTGCCTTTTTTTCAAAAAAAAAAGTCCACTATATTTTTTTAATCATTATTTGCGACCCCGTCTGTCTCATTATTTAATTCTTATACACATTTTTTTCCTTACAAAACCTACTAATTTATTATTTACGAAAACACTCGGATTTAGAAAACTCGGAAAACATGATCAAACGATTCGAGATATTATTTATAAAATACACGATTCCTAACATACATATGTAATGTATAATAATATAATGAAATTAACTTTAACCCTACCATCATGTTTACCGCACCCGCAGCCCATACGGCGTACGCATCCAAAATTTAATCATCACCAACAGTATCAATATAATAGAACTCCATACACATTATAAAACTCATATAACTTTGCCAAAGAGGAAATAATAAACAAAACAAAATTACACAAACCATAATTTTTCAGCTGTTATATATCAGTGGGAATTATTCTCCCAAGTCAAAAATCGAAAATTCTTTTTTGGGGTCAGGTTCAGTAAACTCAACGGTGTAAAAAAACCTATTCCTTTAGCCAGGTAAAAACCTCGGCAACTGTAATAACGTTTCAGGAATGTCGGAAGAGGTAAGAAACAAAAAACGGATAAGATGATGGAAGCCATGAAGGAGGAAGGGGAGGGGGCTTATCTTAAACGTCGAGAAGCAGCCTCTGAGGATCCTCCACTACGTCCTTTATCCGACGCAGAAAATAAACGGCCTCTCTCCCGTCGATCAGCCTATGATCGTACGTTAGCGATACGTACATCATCGGCCTACCCACTATGCTTCCTCCCACAACCATCGGCCGTGTCACTATCGAATGCATTCCCAGGATTGCAGACTGTAGCCACGATCAATGACAGAGAGAGAGACTCAGTTCTTTTGGCCTTGGTCCTGAATTCAGACTGTAAAAAAGATTTGGATTTTGAGAGAGAAATCTTTTACCTGGGGAGGGTTGATGATGGGTGTGCTTATGAGGCTTCCGTAAACGCCGCCATTTGAGATGGTGAATGACCCTCCAGCCATCTCGTCTATCGATATTGAACCCTCGTTTGCCTTCTTAGCCAACGAGTTTATCGTCTTCTCTATCTCCGCAAAGTTCATTTTATCTGCATCTCTTATTACTGGAACCACCAGCCCCTGGATGATACCAAGCATTTCATATAATATGATCAGGCAGCACAGCAGAAATTGCAATATGTTTTCGGAACAGGAGAATCGAGCTTGTCCTCTTTGCTATATCGCACTATTGGTTGAAATTTAAGAACGAACTCTTGACAAGCCTGGGCTAATGTTAAAGAAAACGGTGACAGACCTTGGAGGTGCCGACTGCAATACTGATATCGATGTAGTCTCTGTATATGATATCATCACCATCAATAACTGCATTTACTACTGGTTGGTGCTGGAGGGCACTAACAGCACCCTGAAACAATCGTAGAATAAATCAAGAGTGTTAATGTTATTCAAAATGGTTCATTTTACAGTATGTTATTTAGTTTTAGAAGAAAAGCTGGCTATTGCATACCTTAACAAATCCAGACATAAGCCCCAGCTTCACTCCATGCTTTTCATAGAATGCATCCTTGTACTGAGATCGCAGACTCATCAAATTAGTCCTGAATGAAGGAAAATTTTGCAGGTGAGGGGAAAACCACGAAACAGTAAACAACAAAAACCAACAAGACATAATCCTAGGTTGTTACTCACATATCGACTTCATTGAAAGTTGTCAGCATTGCAAAAGTATTCTGAGAGTCTTTCAGCCTTGTTGCAACACGCTTCCGAAGTCTAGTCATAGGAACCTGCAACAACATTAGACGCCATATATCAATTATCAACCACAAAGCTTTTCTTCGCAAAACAAATCCCGAGGTTACAAGCTTCCGGGCACAGACAAGATTAAAGGACACTATGTATGCTTACCCGTCTTTCCCTGTCCTTGGGAGGCAGCTGAGGTTCTTTAGCAGACTGCTTAGGAGGGGGTGGAACTGGTGCTTTGGGCTTCTCCTGAACAGGATTACTTTCAAGCTTCTGCTTTTCGTCGGTCTTTTCAGGAGTAAGCAACGGCTTTGAAGCAGGTTTCTCTGGTATCTTTTCGGAGGGGGCAACATGAGAAACAGCTTCCCCAGACTTGGAAATAATAGCAACCTTTGTTCCTGGTTCTACAGTATCTCCTTCCTTCACTATAAACTAAGCAAGAATAAGAACCCAGCTGTTAGAACAATAGATAACAACCATACATAGAGGAAGACAGAGGATAGTAAAATAACGAGTAAACATTACATAATACAAATAGCAATCTTATGTTACCTCTTGGATAACTCCAGGTGCTGGGCTGACAATATCAATAGTCACCTAATGCACCGAGATCAATTCAAATAACAAGTACTAGGAAAGCTTAGCTCAAAACCTACAATATGGATATCTACACTTAATAAAGCATGTGATTGATACCTTATCCGTTTCGACTTGTGCAATTGGCTCATCAGCCTCTACTCTATCACCAGGTTCTGCATGGACAACATAGGATATGTAAAATAATAACATAGATTCATTCATCCAAGCATCAGAAAGAACCAGAAAGGATAATAGAAAAGGAAAAACATACTTTTCAGAAAGTTAGCTAGAGTGCCGTCAGTGATTGATTCACCCATGTGAGGCACAACAGCTTCCACTGAATCACCTTCAATATCATAAACAAGGAAATGTGTAAAAATTCATAGAAATCCAAGTAAAGCTATAATGACAGTAGAGTTCAAAATCCAGATGAAAAGAATGAGTTTTCACAACAATCTGAATAAGAAATGAAGCAAAAGTTGAAGGCTGCTGAGCAAGGAGTCCAGTACATCTATCCAAAGTTTAGCACCCAAAAAATCAACGAATGTAATTTGGCTGAGCAATCAGACGTGCTGAACATGGGAAACAAGTAACAACTAATGATTTGATAGACAAACACACCAATTTTAAGCAAGAGCAATCATACCATTTCCAGATGAAAATGGCCTGACCCATCTTTGCAGAGATGTGCCTTGGCAACAGTTGAAAACGCTCCTGCGCATAAACATAAATTTGTATCACATAAAGCGAGCAAGAGACGAGAAACCTAAAACTTGTAGGCAACGCATGAATAAACGAACCGAGCTTACTAACCTCAAGTTGTTTGAACTAGCTGCATGGAATGAAAATGGGAGATACTGTCAAGGAAAGAAACCTAAAACTAGGCAAAAAGGTACAAAGGAGGCTGTAAAAATACCTGGCAAAGCAAGGTAATGAAAGCTATGAGCATAGCCTCCACGATACAATTGTGTCTGTTCAAATGTTTCAACATCAAACTTCCATAAGATAATCCACAAAGGATCACAAATTCAAAACTGAATAAAAAATCCTGAACTCTTACTTCATGCAGAAATCGATACAAGCAAAAATGGACATGAAACCAAAATCAAACACCATAAAAGAATGCACCTCATTTGAATGAAAGCTTGGGGCAGAAGCCGCAGCACGAGGAGATAGTAGCGACTTCCCAAACGCCTAAGAGCGAGACAAATAAATGGGGAATTAAAACAATCATACCTTCGATCCAAGATAAATCTCACAAATCAATAAAATTAAACAAAAGAGGAGCACCGACCGAAGCAGAAGAGCCCCTACTCGCAGCTCTCCTAACTACAGCACGCAACATCATCGTACCAAGACCCTGTTATTAGGAAGGGACAACATATTACGACGAGATTCAACACTTGCAACCATTTCGCAAGTCGGAGATTGATTAGGCAAACAGAAGAACAGAAAAGTTGTTTTTTCCCTCAAAAATCAACCCCGTCAATACTTCAACAGCATCAGAAACCTAGATTCGGGAAATTCTAACGCCAAAGCATCGGTATAACAACTTTTGGACCAAACGCAGGGAAACGGATCAAGAAAAGAGCGGCATGAAAATCAAACCTTGTAGCAGGAGAACCCGCAAACAACGCTGAATCAAGAGAGTTAGGGTTTGCAGAATCGGTGAGAGGAGAGAGAAGACCAGGCAAAGCAAATAACTTTTGAGCAAGCCACCGGAATAAGGCAAAGTTCGGAGCCTATGAAATGAGATACACACGTGTCGCGCTCTGATTGCGTGAGAATATGAACAAAAATATTCGCTCGAATATGTCCATTTTTACCGAGCAGATAGAGCGACCGCAGAAACCACGTCGTCTCGCATAATGGCTAAGCCCATTATAGGCCCATAAATTGTAATGGACTGACCTCAGTAACTATGGGCCTACTCAACGGCCCAAGTGGATGAAAACACGATCGTTCAATATTTTTGCAATAGCCATTTGTAATTTGATATAAATTACCAACAAAAAAAGGTTATTTTATTATGAATAGTAATATTTTTTAAAACGAGAATATTTTGATTTTTTTTAACAAAATACTGTAAATGTGACTGAAATGAGAATGTTGAGATGGATGCGTGGACACACAATGATAGATAGAATTAGAAATGAGATTATTAGAAAGAGAATAGGAGTAATAGATATCAAAGAGAAGGTACGGGAGAGGCGTTTAAGATGGTTTGTACATATACAACGTAGACCGATAGATGTGCCGGTTAGAAAAGTGGAGAGTATAGACATATAGGTGAAAAAGAAAGAACAGAAGAAGTACACCCAGACTTACTTGGGAGTGTGTCATTAGAAACGATTTGGAAGTGTTGCAGATTCTGAAAGAGTTAATCCATGATCGAAATGAGTGGAAAAGAAGAATTCATGCGGACGATCCCAAATGAATTTGGGAATGACGAGATGATGTTGTTGTTGTTTTAACAAAATACTGTAAATCTCTCATGTTTCATGTGAAAAAAAATCAATGAGGGCCGCTTTTTCAACAATAATTTACAGTTTACCAATCAATCCAATACATTTACAGTCACATATTTATTCATTTTCATCTGAAAAAAGAAAAATCAATGGGAATTGTTTTTTTTTCAGTGATAATTTACAGTTTAGTTTAGGGATCAATCGGATAAAATTGGCGTCTGAGTTTCTGGTCGAGGAGGTCTCTTTGAAAACAAAGATGACTTGGCGTCCAAGAAACTAGAGAAAGACTGACGATTAGGGCTCGGTTCATAACCTTTCCCTCCTTCTTCTTCCTCTTCTTCCGACTGCTTCTTTTGGCCTCTCTCTTTACCACGGAAGATGAAGCCGAGCCGCTTGAACCTGTTCTTGCCTTTGCCATTGCCGCTCACCGGAGATTCCTCTGTCTGCTTCATCGATCTCATGACCTCGTCGGGACGCGATAACATCGTTTCCACGGTTTCATAGACCTAGATGATAGATGACCGATGCATTCGTTCATATTTCCCAGCGTTTGATTCCGTTTCACGAATCTCTGCTAGTCGAAAAATTGTGATCGTTACCTGGACGAGATCGTCGAGTTTATCGGTCCAGGCACGTCCCTGACAAGTGGTGACTACGTAGTCCTTGCACTCGTAGAACAGCTTTGATAAATCGTCGTTCTTCGCTAGTCTCGGCTCTGACATCACAAATCCCAAGGCGAGCTGGAAAAACGGTACAGCCCGACAATTTTATGGTACCAGATATAGACAGAAACGCATTATCGATAATAAGAAATTTGATGGGAAAAAGCTTACTAGAGATAGAAACAGTTGCTCGAAAAGCTCAGAAGCTGGTATGTCTTCCAGACAATTCAAGATTCCTTCCCTGTAAGTTTGATCAGCGTTGACAGACATTGCATCAAACACGGAACTAGTTATGTTTCACGACAACTTACACTGCCAAATCCTCATCAAAGAGAGGTGATTGTTTAACAGCGGGCACGGGCCTGGCGGTTTCCCAGAGCTCTCTCCACAAATTACCTGTACAAAATTCGTATAAGCGGGTTTTTGTGAGGAATAACGGGCAGACGAGACAAGAAAGATGTAGTTGCTGAGCTTATCCAGAGAACATCGAGACATTCAAGATTGCACCTTCTTTTTGCATCCGCGTGCTTAGACGACCCTCTCCGGGAGATGAATCGTTTTCGGTCCAATCTGGAGGGGAGTGCCATCTCACAAAATCTTCCAAGATACAGCCAGGGTTTGCTGCCTAAGGACGATACAAAAACTTAATTCATCAGTCACGAGAATCTTAGTCGCATTGCTGAGAATTTATTCAGTTCGAGAAAATCACCTTGTAAGCCTGCATGTCAGACAGGAGTTGAGAACAACCGGCGCCCATGCTGTCCATAAGAATAACAAATAAACATACTTTAAGACAAAACAACGAGTTCACAGTCGTGTCCATTCAAAACATCATTGCTTTGATCATTTGGTCGACTTTGATCATTTGGTCGACAGCTCAGTATATGGAAGAATTCATGAAGTTTCAAAATTCATACTCAAAGGAAGACCGAAACAAGGCAGAAAGAAAAGAATTCGTACTCACCTCCCTGTCCGCAGCACCAGTTCCTCTGTTTCTCGAATAAGATCTTCAGTCAACAGCGGCCCTTCCTTTGAGGATTTGGACAAACCCACAAACGAAAAACAAAAAAATAAGATTCAGAACTGAGAAATCTCTTACAGTTTCTATTATTAACTGTAATGGAAATCGACAAACCTGAGTTATTGGGGCATACACAGGTTCACCGGTTTCCAACAATGTTAAGTTCTCAACTTGATGGCTAACACCTAGCCGGAGTATGAATTCCCCGGTATTGCTTTTGGTGTACAAAAGACGAACAGAGGAAGGCATTCCTTCCGAAACATCCGAGTCTTCATCGGTCGAACTGGCTTGCCTCATTACAGCTTCTAGTGCTTCAGACGCGATTCTCCAATGTCCTTTCCTAGCAAGGCAGCAATTTATGACCTGGAGCCATTGATGCATCAGGCAAAACTTTAAATCTGGAATCTCATCCAGAGGGATCCCTGGTATGTGCTTTCCTTCAACCCAAAATCTTCTCAACTGCACATGAAAATGATCCAAGACACATTATCAAAAGAAATACAATATAGTAACCATAAACCACAAGACATAGGACAGTTACTCTATCAGTACTCACAAACAGCATGAACTATAAGTCTATAACCTTTATCTTAACTCGTAGGCTAATCATACCGGAAGATTGGAGAGAGAGAGAGAGAGAGAATAAAGCAGGATACTTCAAAGCCAAGGCTTTGTATCACAATGACTTACTTCATCAACAATCCTGCACCAGAACAAAGCCATTCTCCTTAGCGTTGTAAAACTTCCTATTACTTCTGCTAGCTTAACAACAAAGCCGTCTGGGGGAGCAGCATGAATATCTTTAGGCAAAGACGATGTGTTGGCAGGAGACCCAAAATCAGCGCCTATCTTTCTGCTGAGGAAACTACTCTCTACAAATATCTTCCGAGAATCACAATCAGCGTGAAAATACATATAAGGAACTGAAATATAGTTGGACAGAAAAACATGCCCGTGTAAGACAAAACCCACCTGCATCACACAAGGCTTGAGTTAGAGAAACAAGTCTATCCTCATCTCCGGGATCAAATCCATGCTTATCTTCTTTGTCACCGAGGACCAGTGACTTCACTGCAGAGAGGCTCAAGGCACCTCTCTCCTTCACTGGTGATGAACTTCCAGAAGATGCAACAAAATCTTTGACAGTCTTTGCTCTCTTTCCCGCTCTGGAACCAAAAACCGAAACGACATAATGTGAAGTCAACAGCACGACCCTTCTATGAAAGACTTCAGCCAAGAAGTTTATAAACTGGAAAAACACATATTGTCCAAAACTCATAGGTTATCAAAAAATAGAAGGTACATAACATAAAACAGAAACTCCACCTAGCAAATAGAGACCTTCAGTACTAGTAAAGATTTCAAAAAAAGGTTTTTGCCAGAAAACTGTGACAAAAAGGAAAAAGATTTAAACCGTGGTGAAACTTAGAGGTATTGAAGACTCACTCGAGAGCCACAGCCAGCTGCTTCACAGTAGATGATGGAGGAATATTGTTCACATCAGTAGCATTAAGAGATTCTACCAATATGGCAACATCTGATGCCTAGACACCAATAGAAGGAAGCAAAATCGTTAAACAGAAACCTCCAATGGTGTCTGTAGAAGATCCGGAAAGGTGAAAGTGAAACCTGATACCTTGGTTTCCTGTTCTTGTCTCACTCTGTGGATATACATATTTTCGTCGTAAAAAGGGAATGCCATTGTTGAATTTTCAACCTTTTCTTTATCTTCAACTCCTTTCCTCCCTAGCCTAAAGTTTTTCAATCTATCTTGCCAGTCTTGCTTTGTTCTGATATGTGCCCCTCTCCAACCTCGACGCTTCACTTCATCGTTATCCTGCATCAGACAGTTCAATTCAGCAGGAAACATAACATTTATCTGAACCTGATATAACGGAGTTTTCTTCAAAGAAACAAGAACAGATTGTCAATCACTAAAAGCATACGGACAATATCCTCCAAACATGTAACTTAGATTGCCTCACTTCTGATACATTCTCCAAATCCTTCAAGCAAACAAAAAAAACTACAAGTTTCAAATCCTTCAAACAATCCAAGACTAATTGGTTTTGCCCAGATTCTTAGAACACATCAAACATTGAGAGATTATGATTCCAGGGCCAAAACCATTCCGGCATTTGATTATCGCGTAAATGGCGTACCTTTGAGAGATCGTCGTTCCTCGCCGATTGCGTCTCCGCGTCTTCAACGATTCAGATCGACGAAATTCAAAAACAAGAAATAAGCATCACCGAAATGAAACAAAAAAAGGGGAAATGGAGAGAGAATTTAACACGAGAAATCGGATAAAATCAGAGGTGGAGCAGGCAATGGGACCTCCATCGATCAGTCAAAATTTAGTAAATGGAAATGAAGAAAATCCTACGACTTACGATGAAGAGACAAGTAAATCGAAGCGGAGAATACGGAGAGAGAGAGAGAGACCTAGATCAGATTTGAGATCAGTGAAGACGCGCTCCGCCTTTGCGGCGGCGGAGTGGAAGGCGGTCCGAGCCTTGGAGACGAAAGAAGACGGAGCCACCGCCTCCATTATCGTGCGCACATACAAGCGCAGGTTAAGATGTTGATTGTTGCGTCAACGACGCGGCATGAGAGCTCGAGGAGGAAGAAGAAGAAGAAGAAGAAGGTGAGATCAACGAGCCGCAGCGGAGAAGCGGACAAATTAGGAAGACATTTTGAAATATATTTTTAATTAATTAATTAACTAATATAGCAACAAAAAAAAAGGAAGAACAAATTTTGGGATAAATCTATCCATATTGATTATTGGATACGAAAATTGAATACGAGATTTGACTTCCATTGGACCAACGCCTCGGGGGAATTTGTAACATAAAACAAACATCTCCTCTTTGAATAATTATTTTAATTATATTTCATTTTATTTATTTTTGTAACACAAATATATAGATACCCACGAAAACAAATACGATGCTAATTGAATTACGGCGAGGAGATAAGCTGCTTGAGAGTAAGAGGGAAAGGTCGACAGTTTCAACGAATTTCCGAGCCGCGGCTTCTGTCGGGTGGCCGTACAGATCCCAGAAGAAGTAAGCTGTCCTGTCCGAACAGTACTTTGCGATTGGAAGACATGGAAGTTCCGCGTTTAGCTTTCCGCGTCCGCAACACGCAGCTTCCACGTTTTTAAACCCTAACACCAAACAAGAGGTATATATTCACATTCTCTGTTCATTTTTTATTTGGTAAAAATAGTATTCACTCGCTAGAAGTACACTCAATATTCATGAAAACAAGTCCTTTACACACACATATACACATGTGTATATATAATATATCATATTATACGTACCATAAACGGTAGGGTTGGAGATGATGTCTTGCATGGCAATGAAGTTGTCGACGTAAGAGTATCTCATGGAGCCATGAAGATCTTGTGCAAATTGTTGCAACATTAACCTAAGAGCTTGGTTGTAAACCGAACACCACATGTTTGGTTCTCTGTTACATTCATACGTCGAGTTCTTCTTCCTTTGTACCGGGATGCACCCGATCTGTCCAATCCCGATCACCACGAATTTGCGTCCTCCATTATCGTATATTCTCTGTTTCACATATATAAACAAATTTTGATTTGAGTTTCGGAAATAATGAAAAGAAGAAGCGGTAACATTAGTAAAAAAAGATCTACCTTGAGCTGCTCTTTCAATTTGGTAGCCATCATTTGTGTGTATTGTTGAGGGTTGTTCTTCTGGCGGAGTTTGAACGAAGAGAAATAGTCGAAGAGATCGTTGCTTCCTATGACTATTACGAATATGGATTTCGACAGATGATTTTGTGCTGCGGATGGTGAAAGCTGTTTCACCAATTCTTCGTGAACAGAAATGTAATTGTTCACTTGTTGGGAGAGAGGTATTGATTGACCCTAAACCATATAAAATTTAACAAAAAATATGAGACACCATCTAGCGGGGATAGCTCAGTTGGGAGAGCGTCAGACTGAAGATCTGAAGGTCGCGTGTTCGATCCACGCTCACCGCATTTTTACCTTCAATTTTTTTGGGCCCATATTTTATTGGGCCTGGCAAGTTCCGGCCCAATTACAGCCCATACATAAGCCCGTGCATGCTCTATTTTGTTATCTAATAATTTAAATTTTATTCAGCTACGAGTGAAAATAAATATTCAAATTTATAGGACTTACGAGAGTTTGATCGGAGCCGTTGAAGATTCCGGCTCCGCCAGAGGCAAAATTTACTCCGGCCAATTCTCCGGATTCGTTCCCTCTCTTTTTCAGTGACAGATACGGCGGCGGCGACGGTATTCCCAATTTCTCGGCTTTTCAAAAAAAATTGTGAAACCAATCATATCATGACACGTGGTACGGCATCCAACGTATCTCAAAGAAACTCACCGATGACATCGGCGGCGTTCTTGCCGTTGCAGAATCTTCCGGTGGGTTTCTTGGTTGGAAAATCGATGCCGTTGTGAGGGTAATTAGCTTTGGCCAACGAAACCGGGAGATAGTTGTTGTTTCCGACATCGACTAACGAATCTCCGAACACGTACAGTCCCTTAACCGGTTCTCCGGCCACTGCTAAACCGGACATGACGAAGAAGACGGCGACCAAGATATTTATCTCCGGCATCTTTGGCTTCTTTCCCCGGCGAAACTATAAAACCTCTACGTATTCGCTCCGGCTCGGGATTTTTTTTTTTTTTTTTTTGGGGGTCTAAAACGATCTGAGCCAAATCTTTGGATTGTGTGGTATATATAATAAGCATTATTGAGAATGTGAGTTATATAATAAAAAATAAATCTTTGATGAAATGTGAAAGGAAAATTTTTGCCCCAAAAAAAAAAAAATGTGAAGGGAAAAGATAGAAAAAGGTCATGCTTGGTGGTGTTTGTGGTCTGTCTTGACAGATCACTGCTTCAATAGAATCAAAAGTGGATAATATTATATATAT